TTAATTTATTATTTTTAGGTATTGCAACCTTTTTGTGTTCTACTTTGTATAGCATTACCAATCTTGAATCTTTTCTTCTGTCAGAGAGGCTGCACCATTCAAGGTGTTGTCAAATGTTACCAACGCTTGAGGTGTTTCTGTATTTGTTGGTAACAAGACGGGCAGCCCTCCTTTGAACTTTTTCAAAGCTATCTATGTCTTGTTGTAAGTATGGATCCCAAACAGAGCAAGCATACTCTAGTGATGGTCTTACTAGGGAGCCCGGACTTGTATGCTTGCTCTTTAATGGATGTTGAGCTTATATTCAGGTTCCTCCTTAGAAAGCCTAGGGTGCTATTAGCTTTCTTGTATATGTAGTCCGAGATTACTCTGACGTCCAACTGCTGTTTTGCCAGACAAGCTGGGGCCGTGGGTTCCTCCACCAATAAAAATTGGCCGCCACGAAATAGCCCAAAAGCAGTGCTTAAAAGTAGCGTTAAAACATCAAAAAATCAAAAATCAAATTAAACATTGCTATATACAGTCAGGGGACTTACTTAAATGAGTGATTTTCTAAATCACTGATTCAAGTAACATTATGTCCATAACGGTTGGAAGTAAGAGTTGTCTTTTTTTAATAATCACCTGCATTTAAGTAGTACAAATTAATCACTAGACTAAGTGATTTAATTTTATTGTAGCTTCAAATATAAAATACTAATGATCCAGGGACTAATTATGTTGCTAAAATTATCAGAACCAACATCTGTGTTGATAGGATGACCGGGTCATGTCAGGTGATGACCTTGTACTAAATCTAGGATAATGACATAAAAATCACTTGTTTAAATATCATACCTCAATTTCATTCCAAAAAATCACTTCTTTAAGTATCATTATTTTAATAACCCCAACTAATTTCAACACCTCCGAACAGTGAAACTTTGATCGTGAACAGTAGAATTTTATTACATAATCTGTAAGATGAAACCTTGAATTTTACAGGAAAAATACTCCATCTGCTGGGAAAAATCTGTTAAGGAAGTATATCAGTTCATTAAGTAAAACCATTTTTATAGCATTTTTTCAACTAAAATAGAATTTGCAGCTAAATGATTGCTAAAAGAAGCAAAAAGTTCATTTTTTCAATTTTACTAATGAAAAGATATTATCTAAACCTATGTGTTTAAAATTTTGGTAAAACTACAAAATCACAATTTGTGACAAAACTTCGAATTTGCTACTTAAATAAGTGATTTAAAAATCACTTATTTCAATAATTCCCCTGACTGATATAGGAAGATGTGCAAAACATTTTGGTATACTTTTTGGGAAAAATTAAGAGAAAATAAACGAGAAGGTATTCAGTAAATTTTGCAATTGAAATTATAAGATCATATTTACATGTATATTAGGGTAAACAATTATGTGTTTCTTATTGGTCTGTCTTGTTTGATCTTTTAGTTTTGGTTAGATATTGTGCCATTTTGTCTTGCCTTAAGATTTGATTGCTTTTATTGTGTTGACTGCCTGTGGGTTGGTAGTTCCCGCTCTGTTGAAGGTTATGTAGTAAGCTCTGGATGCATTTTTGTGCATTTGATACATTATGGTAGTCCGAGATTACAACGGCCCTAGGTTGTCTGGCAAAACAGCCGTTGGACGTCAGAGTAATCTTGGACTATTGCATATATGCTGTTAATGTGTACATCCCATTTAAGGTTTGAGCTGATGGTTACCCCAGATATTTTGCTGTTGTTACAATGAAACTTTTGATGAAAGAGAAATATATTTAGACCATTTTGAGACAAAATTTAATTGTCTATGAGTTAGCATTAAAAATGTGGTCAGACCTATAATCCGACAGTCCTATAATCCGACAACATGATAGTCCAACAGTCCTATAATCCGACAGCTCGATAGTCTGACGCGCGGTCACTTGTCTCTGAAATATATGCCTATAAAGACATGGAATGTTTGAAAACTGATATATTTTTTTACACAGAAAATTATCAAATCAGTCTGTATGACGTCTTGTACAGGGCCGCACTGATACCATACGAATCGGATGAACTTTCGCACCCTACACGTTCCCACCAAAAAGTCCGTTCATACCCTACACGTTTGGTTTTGTTTCTTTATGAAACAATGAAAACAAATATTTATAGCAATACACTAACCAAAACTCGATTTTTTTTTCATTGCTTCATAATAAATTGACATTCTGAAAACGTTTTTGTGTTGAATAAATCTACTCCTGTTTTGGTTAGAGAATTGATATTATCATATATTTTTTTCCATTGGAAGTACAGCGATTTATATTGCCATGCAAGAGCAGTGATAAGGTTTTATTTTGTCAGAAAAATTGACTCAATTTAGTTAAGATTTCATCCCAAACCATGAAATACGCAGCATCTTCTGAAAGTGTTACTGCATCTTGAAAATTTAAGATAATGACACTATTCATATTTTATCAAAACTTATTGCTCTTTTAAGAACAAGAGAAAACATAAAAAAAATTATAATCCTATGAACTATCGTGGTATTACTTTAGTGTCCGTTCCTAGGAAAATATACTGTCATGTTTTAAATTCACGATTGAATGAGTGGATGGAAGCTAATAAAACTCTATGCAACGGTCAGAACAGTTTTCGTGAGAAGAGAAGTTGTGAAGAGCATATACATATGCTCCATACTGTCATCAATGATAGAAAGATATCGAAACTTTCAACTTTTGTGTGCTTCATAGATATGCGAAAGGCATTCGACTCCGTTCCTAGATATCTTCTTTCTACTTTATTTGGCCTTTTTAACTTTTTTGGATTCAAGTGTCACTGATGAGTCTTTTGTAGACGAAACGCCCATCTGGCGTAAATACAAAATTTGATCCTGGTATCTATGAAGAGTTTATTTGGTATAAAATGTTTAAAGCTGGAATACATGGAAAGTTCCCTACCGCAATACAATCTCTGTAAGATGATGTTAAATGCTCCGTTAAAGTTAACGACTATCTTTATACACCATGGTTCAACGTTGATTTGGGGGTTAAACATGGATGTTTGATGTTGCCTATTCCTTTTGCGGTGAACATAAATGACCTGGCCAAAAGAACAACTTAAACTGTGGTATTAGGATTGTCGATATTGCGTTAAGCATACTACTGTATGCCGACGACATCGCTGTTATTGCGCCGGATAAACACAAACTACAGAGAATGCTAAATGAGGTTGCGTCTTGGTGTGATGACTGGAAACTTGGAGTCAATCGATCGAAAACCAAAGTAGTGCATTAGGTCTAGTTTATGGTAAACCACAAGTGGTAGGTCAATGATATTTGGTATGCAGTTGTATTAGCATTGGCACATCTCATTTCCATGGATATTATTTGGCCCTGCCCCCTCAATCATAGTCTATTGACTTTGAAACCTTTGCTTATTTTACATGTATTAGTTTGTGATTAGGTTAGTGTATGGGGAACCACTAGTGTTAGGTCAATGATATTTGGTATGCAGTTGTATAAGCATTGGCATATCTCCTTTCCATGAAAATTATTTGGCTCCGTCCCCTTAGTCATGGTCTACTGACTCTGAAAATGTTGCTAAGTTTACATGTATTAGTTTGTGATTAGGTCAGCTCAAGGGGAACCATTTAGGGTAGGCAAATGTTAATTGGTATTCAGTTGTATAAATATTAGCACATCTCATTACCATGGAGAATATTTGGCTCTGCCCCATCAGTCATGGTCTATTGACTTATAAGATTTGCTTAGTTAACATGTATTAGTAAATTCCGTGTGAGCCAAGCCAAGACCGTACCTTGACCTATAATGGTTTACTTTTATAAATTGTGACTTGGGTGGAGAGTTGTCTCATTGGCACTCATACCACATCTTCCTATATCTAATTAGTTTGTGATTAGATCAGTTTAAGATGAACTGCTGATGTTAAGGCAATGATATTTGGTATGCAAATTCATTGGCATTTGCAAGTATCGTTTCCATGGAGATTATATAGCCCCACCCCCTCTTCATGGTTCATTTACTTTGAAACTTTTACATAGTTTACAAGTTAATGTTTGTGTTTAGGTTTGTTTAAAGGGAACGACTAATAAGTCAATGGTATTTGGTATGCAGTTGTATTAGCTTTGGCACTTCTCATTTACATGGAGATTGTTTAGCCATGTACCTCAGTCATGGTTCATTGACTTTGAATATTTGCATAACTTATGAAACATGTTTGCCTTTTTTATTGCCAAGTGTTTATCCTTGCTTTTTTTTCTAACTCAAAACTTTTATTTAAATTTCATCCTAGCCCCATAACCCCAAACCCACCCCCCCTCCCCTATTATCAAACAGTAGCTTACTAATTGTTCAAACAGTATAGGATGAAATTGTTATACCACTACAACGCATTCAACTTTTTAATTTTAATCATTGCTCGCGTTTCTTTGGCAGTATGCTAATAAGCCTAGAAAGAGATCCATGTCCTTTGCAGCAACACGGCTACATGTCGGCCCATCGGACTGTCAGATTAACTGTACTGTCGGATTTTTGGACCGTGGGACTATCGGACAACTGAACCGTTGGAATTTCGGGGTGTCGCATTATAGCTACGCTCCCTTAAAAATTGAGGATTAATGCACTCCATAGTATACTAATTTAAGATTTCCAGAAAACCAGGGGTAATTTTTAGTGGTACTTGTCTTCCGTAAGGCATTTCCTTCTTATAGACTTTAAACATGGGTTGAAAATTGGCATGTAAAAAGGTGATACATGTACAATTCAGGATTTACCTGGTTTCTATGAAGTAAAACTTAAGGTAAAATATTTAGAAAGCTGTGAAAATTGCAAAATTTGGTTGAATAGATAGGGATTTTGAATTGGTGGTCTGACACCTTATACATGTATGGCAAAATCATTTCTTTAGGAAATTACACTGCAAAAAATACAATCCTGTGGGGTCTCAAAGGTTAAAAAGAGTGGATTTCCAGAACAAAACTCATAAAATCAAATAGTTTTTGACTTACTGTTATACAGTGAATTATCTATAATATAAAGAGGTTTAACTAATCTTTAAAACCTGTCACCAAAAGTCAATTGCTGTCTGCTCAATTTACAGTCTCAGGAAGGCACAAATTAAAACCTGCGAATTCTGGACTCCAAAAGTATTTTCAATCGTCCTAACAAAATAAAATGCAACACAACTTATTCTTAGATTTAAAAGTATATGTTTTATAAATTTCTGGTAAAATTTTATTACTTTCGCCTTGCTGCTAAAAATATGAAAACTTATTGCTGAGCATGGTTACGGGGCCTGGTTACGGTCTTTAGGCAGTTCCACAGAAAATGGCTGCGCCCATAGATAGAACTGGTTTACCTCTTGGAAAACTCGTTTTTGAAAAATCCAGCTTTAAAAATGAAAAGTCTAAACATGAGGAATTTACAGAAGATCACCATTTCAATTATACTGTATGTTGACTAAAAATTAAACATGCTTTCACATGTTTAATGTTAGTTTAGTCGGAAAGAGTTCCATATGGCACCCCCACCCAAAAATATATTTTTCCCGATTAGAAAACATTCTAAAAAGGTTTTTTTTTAAGGGGAGCTTTATAAAAAAAAATGGGGCATGGCATTTTTGGGGGGTTAAAAAAATAATTGGAAAAAAAATGTTAAAAAAATATAGAAAAAAAAATATTACAAATTAGTTGCTTTTCATATGAGCCATTTTCTGTTGACAACCTTTTTTTTCTTTTGGTACCCCCATTTCCTTTTGACACCCTCAGATTTTCACATGTTACTACTTATACATCTTAAGCATCATTTATATTACAGTACATCTCATTACATTTTAACACAATTATATATATAAATATACCTTGCTGGGATTCGAACCTCCAATCTTGGGATCTGAAGTCTACTGACTTAGCCACTAGGCTATGACAAGTTAGGTGATATAAGTTTTAAAAATAATTATATCCTTTTAGGTAATTCCATATGGGGAAATCAGGGTTATTGTTGCACTTTAAAATCGGTAACAAAATATTTTTGTAAAGTTTAAATAATCTAATTAGCAATACAGTGAAATGAGTATTTTCCACACCCCAATAGTTACACTGGTCAAAATTTATTGGTATACTACTGAATTGAAACGTACTCACTATTTATTTCACTAGTGGTGCATGCACTAACTTAATTGAGAATCGGTGGTGGTGTATCAAACGACAACTGCCAACCACACATACTAGATCTAAAACTTTTGATAAACATTTAATGGAATATATGTGGAGAACATTATATTCAGATAAAACATCACTTTTTGACAGTTTCACTCAGGACATGTGTAAAGTATATCCCCTTTCTTGATTTGAAATTAATTATTTCAAAATAAAAATGAAATCATTATAAATCTCATTTTGTTTCATTTTCCTTGATAGTTATTATATATATATTACTATTGTACATCAAATACATATTATAAATCAATTATTTTTACAACATTTTTATGGCACATATCCCTGTTCCAAGAAGTGACACCCCCTATTTCTGTTTGACACCCCCATTTTCCTTAAATCTTAGTTAATACCTTGTAAAACAAATATATTATTATTGTAGATTAAATATACATCAATTAAATATATTTTTACAACATTTTGGGTGGGGGTGCCATATGGAACTCTTACCGACTAATCAAAGGTAAACCAAGATGCATTTCGGATTCCAGCAATTGCACAGAGCACGTACTTTTGCCAAGAATAAGACTGAAATGCTGACAACTAACTTTATACAAAACATAAAAGTTGAATGGCTTCAGTCAGCTTGTTGGAGTAAAGGAAATGCACACGCTATAAAATGGAAATAAAAACAAAGATTTTTCAACTTTCCTTTGAAGAATTTATTGAAACAAAAACTTGAAATATTATTTCCTTTCTAACAGTGCAATTCATTGTTCTTGATATGAACAACATTAGATGTGGCTTCACCCTAAGGTAATAACAGTACACACAATGTGAAACATCAAATGAGAATAGCGAGACGTGTGTCCCTTGTTTTATTGCTACAATAACATCCAATTAACACCTTCAAATTTGTACACACATCATACTATACAATTACACGCGCCAGAATATACATTCATTGTAAATAGTGAAAACCTGTTGAAAACTATAAATTGTCATTAAATCTTCAATCAACATTAAACTATGCATAAACATGATAAATATCTTTTAATGAGGCAATACACAAAATGAAATGATGAAAAATATTCACGTTTTAATTATGTTTTCCTCTTGTTTGATTTCAGTTCATTGTATTTCACAATTTGTGTGTATTTTTTGGATAATGATGCACAAATAATGCATTTTGCAAGTTTATTATATATTGGTCAAAGAGAGTTTTAAAAACAATTTATAAGATAATATATTATTGTTCTAAAACACAAGTAAAATTAATATACGACAGGGTAAACGTAATATTTGCTGTATTAAATAATAAATAATAAAATATCACGAATAAACATGATAAATGTAGCAATTAGATCTATGTTTCAAAAATGTGAGATGCTTTATTAAAATGACTTTTTCTATATATTTATTGATAGAATATTAACTTTCTTGTTGCTAAATTTGTTTTCTTGTCACTAAATAGTCTTCTTGTCGCTTCTTGTCACTATATTATTCTTCTTGTCGCTTCTTGTCGCTAAAATTCTTCTTGTCGCTAATTAGTGAGACCGGACCTACATGTATAAGATGACCTGAGTTTATCATGTTTATAGAATTTTCTTTTCTTTGAAGAAACTTCATTTTAAAACAAAAATGAAGAGGAAATATCACATGATAATATTTTTTGATATGCAGTGTTCTCACCCGACCAATAGTGCTGCAGTACGCCAATGCTTTCACTTTCAGTCTTGATGTCAGTGCTTAAATACACCTTATCACTATTTGTCTGCCATTCCTGGTCATCACAGACATTCCCTAAAAATTTTGACCTCGCAATAGAAATTGGCTGACACAACAAAGGGAAAGTGATTATTGTATGATGTCAATAGTTCAAGTGTCACATATTCTCGGGTCAAGTGCTGCAGATACCCAAATAGCGATAAGGTTTATGCATGATATTCCAACTGCTGCTTTTTCCCTGGGTCAACCAAGGTAGTTCATTCTTAAAATTGAAGTTGAAACTTGTCTATGGCTTCTGAGCCTTCTAAGTCATTCTCATATATTTCAATCTGTCAATTATAAAACGTTGATAGATCTTAATAACTTTCATCAACTTGCAGATCACCCATGTGCAACTAATCAATGTTATTATGAATTAAGCAATTGTTTATCATCAACTTGTATTGACCAATTCTGAGCTTGTAATAGGCCCTTTCACGGTTATTGCAGCCATATTGAATAGGGGGCAGATTTTCATAATGGATTTGAAAATGCTTTGAAAAGAACTGGAAACCATCAGTAAAATAGAACAGTTGCTTGGAAACATAGATAGGTTTTCCTGTACTTTCTAACTATTTCCACCTCCATCCAAAAAATCTGACCCTATTAAATATGGCTGCAATAATTATGAAGTAGCCTATATTGCATAGATAATCATTAAATAAATAGGTATTTTCTATCTTGATTAATAGAAAAGTGTGATTTTGTGAATGATTCTCAACTTTAATATGTTTAATAAGATACGGTGAAAGTTGGAAGTTGGAGACAGATTGAATAATATATAAGTTAACATCTTGTTTCTTATTTATGAATAAAAGTTATTATAATTTAAAAAAGTAAAATAAACTCAAGCCTTTTTCAACTGATTTTTAGTTTGTTCTTATATTGTGTGCTACTAAACCACTGTTTTGAGTAAGGTGAAAGAGTTGAGTGCTTGCAAACATGTTTAACCCTGCCACTATCTATTTTGTGTTTCAGATCAGCTGTATTCTACCAAATTGTAACAGGATCCCTGAAATACTACAATCCAGCTGTGTTGGAGAGAAAGTCTTCTTTGTACAAGATTTACCATTGATAGATGTAATTAGCTTGGATTTGATAGAAGCTTTTATTAAAAGAGGTGAGATTTAAGGTTACTCCAGGTCATCAGAACTCTTTGTTTGTTTGTTTGTTTGTTTGATGGTTAATGCAACTTGTAGCTACCTCGGCTATATCATTTTGGCCAGATGATCATGAGACCAAATCACATCAATCAATTAGATACATGCTCATGACACTTAATCGCATCAATCAATTAGATGCATGCTCATGACACTAAATAGTATCAATCAATTAGATGTATGCTCATGACACTAAATCACATCAATCAATTAGATGCATGCTCAGGACACTAAATTGCATCAATCAATTAGATGCTCATGACACTAAATCGCATCAATCAATTAGATGCATGCTCATGACACTAAATGGCATCAATCAATTAGATGCATGCTCATAATACTAAATTCTATCAACCAATTGGATATATGCTCATGAGACCAAATCACCTCAATCAATTGAATGCATGGTCATGACACTAAATCGCATCAATCAATTAGATACATGCTCATGATACTAAATTCTATCAACCAATCGGATACATGCTCATGAGATCAAATCACATCAATCTATTGAATGCCATCTTCGCTAACCAAGGGTTACGATCCACTTCCCTCCTCTCAACCCTTGGCGGATTGAGATAGAATTTCGGAGACACAAGGTAATGATTTTCATTGGTTGCAGTCGAAACTCACTGCATCCAATCAAAAAGCGCCTATAACATGATCACGTGTAAATGTAGAAAGTGTATGTAAACAATTGCCATGTGCTTATTGTGCAACAAGTCTTTACATCCCTAAACATACGACTATATTTAGTGACAATTTGAATGTTTTTAATCAACTAATAGAAGTTCCTGTGTATGTTTCTTGCACAAATGCATTAATGTCAACGTATATTTTTGTTTCCTGCTTTACCAAGTGTGTAGAATCAAGACGCTACCGTGTTTTTACCTCCAAATTGAAGAGTTCAAGTGCTACCATTGGTCAAGAATAATGTTTAAGAAATGAGCGTGACTTTAATCTACCGATAGATGGCGCAACATTATCACAAATGTTGGCTTAATCTGCCAAGGGTGGAGAGGAGGGAAGTGGATCGTAACCCTTGGCTAGCGAAGATGATTGAATGCATGGTCATGACAATAAATTTGATCAATCAATTGGAAAGATGCTCACGAGAGCATACATTGTATATAATAGTAGCTGCAAAAGTACCTCAAGATACTTGGTGTTACATCCCCTTGATCACACTTTCAGATGTAAAGAATTACCACAGCAATTTAACTGTTGCAAAAGCAACAGGCATTGATCAGATCAGTCCGCAAGTTTATTCTAAGACTGTCATCTGACAATGTCTGATAATAAAACACCAAACATAGCTTTTATTATGGCCCGCCACAAAGTTGTCTGGGCCATATAGTGTTACCCTCAGCCGTCATTCCACAAAGAACCGTTATACAGACTTTTTTCTAAACACATCGACATATTGAGCTGATTTTTAGTATGTGAGTCTTCTGTGATGAGTTACTGATTGAGTTTACGTTTAGTTCCGCTTCGCTGATTTTTGGCGAAATTCTGTTAAAATAACAGTTAGATGGACTTCATTGTTTTACATCCAGTATTTTTTATTAATGTTGTATTTATATTGTGTCATAGATCAAATTTGTTCATTCAGTGTATGTTTACTTGTTTTTGTTAATATGTCTTTTTGATCGAGTTAAGCCATTTCAATTGATATTTTATAGTGTGTCTTTCTTTGTTGTAATGTTATACATGTACTACTGTTTCAGGTTAGAGTGAAGGTTGGCACCTGTTAAAACGTTTAAACCCGTTGCATTTGTTTGCACCTGTCCTAAGTCAGGAGCCTGTTGTTCAATGGTTGTTGTTTGTTGATTCGTTTCATAAGTGTTTCTATAGACTAGGCCGTTGGTTTTCCTGTTTGAATTGTTTTACACTAGTCATTTTGGGGCACTTTATAGCTTGCTTTTTGGTGTGAGCCAAGGCTCTGTGTTGAAGGCCATACTTTGACCTATTATTGTCTACTTTATACACATTGTGACTTGGATGGAGAGTTTTCTCATTGGCACTCAGTGCCGCATCTTTTTATTTCTATTTATTCTCAAATTTCCACTCCTAAAAATGGCTTCAAGCTTTTTTTTGCGAGAGGAGCCATTCGTGTCGTTCTGACACATTTAGTTATAAATAAGAGTATTACTACTGGTATATTTCCTTTTGAGCAGCAGAGAACTACCAAAGACTTGAAAATTTGTATTTGCTGCTTTCACACTTAACACACAACTTAAAGGAGTAAGAGCAAAGACTGGTCATCCTGTTGTCAGAATAAGGTGTCCAGAAAGGGTGACATGTCTTTCTCCGCACTGTTCCATTGTGAACTAGCATGTTATTAATCAGTGTGTCAGTCATAATACAAAGCAATGTTTCTATTCTCATCACATTAACATCTATATACATTTAATTTGCCATTGGAAGGTAAAAAGCCATTCACATCTTCTTCATCAATATGGAGCAGAGATTAACATTTTGTAAATATCAGTGCAAGAACCTTCTAATGCAATTATCCCAATAGATAATGAAAACAAAAAAAACATCTCTCATGCATATTTAACAGAAACAACATTTAATCTGTATGGTAACTAACGTAAACAATCTTTTGAATTTGTCATCTTTCTACAAGAAGAGTTACTCTTCTATTGTTCTGCTTCACTAGTTTTCCCACTGTACAGTGGCATCGTTTTCTATTTACAGGAAAATTAAGAATGTTATCTCATGGAGGAAATATAGATGGTGATGATTGTATAGCTGTTCTTCCTACAGGTAAATAACAGTTTGATAGATTGGCAGATTAAACTTCCTACAGGTAAATAACAGTTTGATAGATTGGCAGATTAAACTTCCTACAGGTAAATAACAGTTCGATAGATTGGCAGAGTAAACTTCCTACAGGTAAATAACAGTTTGATAGATTGGCAGAGTAAACTTCCTACAGGTAAATAACAGTTTGATAGATTGGCAGATTAAACTTCCTACAGGTAAATAACAGTTTGATAGATTGGCAGATTAAACTTCTTACAGGTAAATAACAGTTCGATAGATTGGCAGATTAAACTTCCTACAGGTAAATAACAGTTCGATAGATTGGCAGAGTAAACTTCCTACAGGTAAAATAGATTGGCAGAGTAAACTTCCTACAGGTAAAATAGATTGGCAGAGTAAACTTCCTACAGGTAAATAACAGTTCGATAGATTGGCAGAGTAAACTTCCTACAGGTAAATAACAGTTTGATAGATTGGCAAATTAAACTTCCTACAGGTAAATAACAGTTCGATAGATTGGCAGAGTAAACTTCCTACAGGTAAATAACAGTTTGATAGATTGGCAGATTAAATGCTTGAAATAAATGTATCATATCAGGCTATATTTATAACCATTAGTCTGTATCAGTTGTGTGTTTTCTTTCTTTAACATGTTCTGTTGTCCTCATTTGTTGGTAATTCTTATTATTATTGGTGTTTTGCATGGAATAGGTATATACATGTATATATGCTAACAGACATCATAACCAATAGAATTGTTCTATTAGATGTCAGTTTCTCCAGACCATGTAATGAAGATGAAATTAATTCAATTAACTTTAGAGGAATAAGATGTGGTATGAGTGCCAATGAGACAACTCTCCATCAAAATCAGAATGTATAAAAAGTAAACAATTATAGGTCAAAGTACGGCCTTCAACACAGAGTCTTGGCTCACACCGAAAAGCAAGCTATAAAGTGCCCCAAAATTACTAGTGTAAAACAATTCAAACAGGAAAACCAACGGTCGAATCTATATAAAAAACGAGAAACACTTATGAACCACACCAACGAACGACAACCACTGAACAACAGGCTTTATGCCTTATTAGTCAACTATTTAGTAAGTTTTAACCATAAATAACAATTTTTGTGAGTATTATCATGTTTTACAGACAATGAATTATTTTTATTTTCAATCCTGTTTTTCAGGTCACATGATTTTACACTTAAGTAAAGACACATACCAACAACTAGGCTTGGAAGGAAAACCTTCACAGTTTCCTAAAAGAAAGAAATCTAAATACAGTAAATGCTAGAAATATTATATTATTAGAAAATTTGTAATGAGGCCAAAACGTTTTTCTTTATCAAAGGGAGATTATCTATGATAATAACTTAAATCTGTCTCATCAGATGCTGCTACATATTGAATATGCCTTTGATATTGGAATTGTTTTACATTTTGAAACAATATAAAATGCCTTTGATTGGACATCTGTTTTATGAAAGATTAAGAATCTGATTGTTTATACTGAGTAAAGATTTTGCCTATATAACACATACACAACTTTTCCAGACTTAAGATGATGTAAAGCTTGCCAAATTTCATTGATATTTGTTTATTGTTGACCTATAAATAATTTTAGTGTTGTTGGGTTGCTGTCTCATGAAATATTCACATCATTTTCGTGTATTCACAACACGACGGGTGCCACATGTGGAGCAGGATCTGCTTACCCTTCCGGAGCACCTGAGATCACCCCCAGTTTTTGGTGGGGTTCGTGTTGCTTAGTCTTTAGTTTTCTATGTTGTGTCATCTGTACTATTATTTGTCTGTTTGTCTTTTTATTTTTGGCCATGGCGTTGTCAGTTTGTTTTCGATCTATGAGTTTGACTGTCCCTCTGTTATCTTTCGTCCCTCTTTTAAAGTGGAAACAGTAAAAACTAATGGAAATCAGCAATGCATCAGTATTGGAATGACAGATTCGATCAACAAACATGGAAGGAGCAGTACCACTAAAGTTTCACCCCTGTTATTCTCTGTACAACAAAGCATGCTAAAGATTTATTGTCATTTCAAATGAAGATACACTCTGCAGTCTGCATTCATGTATTCCAACACCTCTTAGTACCCTGTAAAATCTTCAAATGTTAGAAAAGAAAGAAGTAGATTCAATAAGGCCCTAATATGGCCCCTATTTTCAGCCAAAAATTTAAATTAGGATTTATTGGCCAACAATACAATGAATCATAGCTAAGTCAATGACTAGATAGAAAATATGTCTTTTTTTGAAAATTTACCAATACAAATGTATGTATTACCATTCTTTTCATGACTTCACAAATAGCACAAATTTCAATGAAAACTCTTCAATTTTCAATGATTTTTAGGACTTGAAATATAGAGCCCATGTGTGTGTGTCAACAAAAAAGAATCTTTTAACATTATTTTTTTTGTTACAACTTACATATCTGACTTGACTATTTAGTTTGTCGAATTTTGTCAACTTGCAACAAAATCTCTATCTTTGGTCTATTAGGAATGTGAATGGCAATGCTTTATATGGAAAAATTTGACAAAAATAGTTTATATAAAAAATCTTCCTTCTAAATAAACAATTGGTCTTGCATTGAAATGCATGATTAAGTTTATATATTTTAATTTTTTTTGTATAAAAAATATGTAAATCTACTAATTTAAATTTGTTTCGAGTATTACTGATGAGTATTTTGAAGACAAAACACACTTCTTGGATACAAAATTATAAACCTGGTATCTTTGATAAGTTTAAAATTGTTCATGAAATATGTTTTTTACTAAGACTTCATATTGCGACTTCCTCATTCATAGCAGACCTGGGACATTTATGGCTGTTCTGTGTTGACCCTTATTGGTTTCAATGATCTTAAATTTTTGTGTATTTTGCATCAAACAGTTGGTATCAATAATAGTTATTGATGATTATTCTAAAAACATCCTTTATATACTTAAATTACTAAAACTGATTTTAGGTCATAATCCTTAATTTTATGACTATGTTGATGTAATGAAACTGCTTCTTGAAATACAATGTCCTTTTCAGTTGTAGATATAGATTTGACAAGTCCATCCTTTAAACCAGGAAAAAAGGGTTACAACAGAGTAAAATGGTGTTTTAAAGACAGACTTGATCTCAAGTTTAATTTTATAGCAACATGGACACCTTCAGGTAAGCAAAGTTAAATCTGAAATTGCACCTTGATATCAATTTAAGGATGTTTGCTCCTCTTGTTTTTGAATTTTGCCAGATTTTCGGAATCCTCTGGTTTTATCCATGTTTGGCCATTAAATAATTTTGTCCACTAACCCATACTTTTATTTTCATAATTCTATTACATATAGTTTAAAAAGCCATATTTGAAAATCTTATAGAATCCTTGTTATTTTTTCATTGTTTTTGAAAGAAAAGAGGTGCCAATGTTAAATGTATGAAAAGTCTAGAGAGAATCATTTCCCGCCAAATTTTCAAATGGCTTATATCTCGAAAAAAACAAGCACACGGACCCTTCATTTTTTTCTGCTTTTTTAGTTACTTCATTTATATACTATCAATTTATAACAGTCTTTTAAAAAGCTTGTTATTTTGAAACAGAGTAGCGAACATCCTTAATCCTGAAATTAAACCTTATTATTATCCGCTATATTTGACATAACATCTTATTGTTATCTACTATACCTGACATTACACCTCGTTGTAATCAATGTACATGACATTACACCTTGTTGCAATCAATGTACATGATATTACACCTGGTTGCAATCAGTGTGTGTGACATTACACCTTGTTGTAATCAATGTACGTGATATTAAACCTTGTTGTCATCAATGTATATGATGTAACACCTTGATGTAATCAATGTATGTGACATTACATCTTGTTGCAATAAATGTATGTGACATTACACCTTGATGTAATCAATAATGAATATGAATAGGGATGTTGTTTTTAGAACTGTCATGTTATTATAAAGAAAAACCTGAATATAGACTATAGTAGGTCCTATTTGTAGAGCTTCCCCTCCATTGTTTCTTAAAAAAACACCCAACATAAAAATCAATACTGGAATAAATAAATTAAAATAAATATTCCAGGCTCTTTCCAGAGAACTTGTATGCAAGGATTATTTTAATTTCTATAAGTATCTATTTGTAAGTCTAATTTGTTGTATTATAAAATGTATTTCAGATGATGAAATCTGTCCTAGTTCTATGCAAAAATACTTTACAATGAAAGGCTGCAAGTGTAAACCTGTAAAGATCAAATGTAACATGAAGAAATATAATGATGTCCTTGTCCCAGATATTGACCCTAGCCTTGTGGATTTTGACAATATGGACTATAGTTACACTGATGTTTATGAATGGCTGGGAGGATTTTCATGTGGAATTGATTTGTAAGTCAGAAACTTTTCTTTTTTGTTAATACTTGCATCAATGTGTATTATCTATTTAAGTGAAACAGCAGCAATGATCCCTGGAGTATTAAAAGATGATTTTGACTGTATAAGAAATATAAGATTAAATTAAAGAATGAGTTAAAACTGATCAAAGATAATAATTTAGCTTGTCAATTGCATATTTCTTCTGCATAAGACTCATCAAACAAATTACTAAGTTGAAGAGCATTGAGAAACAAAACTCAAAAATTGTGGCAAATCTGGCTTAGGCTATCTACAAATCTGGCTTAGGTTATCTACAAATCTGGCTTAGGTTATCTACAAATCTGGCTTAGGCTATCTACAAATCTGGCTTAGGCTATCTACAAATCTGGCTTAGGTTATCTACAAATCTGGCTTAGGCTATCTACAAATCTGGCTTAGGTTATCTACAAATCTGGCTTAGGCTATCTACAAATCTGGCTTAGGTTATCTACAAATCTGGCTTAGGCTATCTACAAATCTGGCTTAGTTTATCTACAAATCTGGGCTTAGGTTATCTACAAATCTGGCTTAGGCTATCTACAAATCTGGCTTAGGCTATCTACAAATCTGCCTTAGGTTATCTACAAATCTGGCTTAGGTTATCTACAAATCTGGGCTTAGGTTATCTACAAATCTGGCTTAGGTTATCTACAAATCTGGGCTTAGGTTATCTACAAATCTGGCTTAGGTTATCTACAAATCTGGCTTAGGTTATCTACAAATCTGGCTTAGGCTATCTACAAATCTGGCTTAGGCTATCTACAAATCTGGGCTTAGGTTATCTACAAATCTGGCTTAGGTTATCTACAAATCTGGCTTAGGTTATCTACAAATCTGGCTTAGGCTATCTACAAATATGGCTTAGGCTATCTACAAATCTGGCTTAGGTTATCTACAAATCTGGGCTTAGGTTATCTACAAATCTGGCTTAGGCTATCTACAAATCTGGCTTAGGCTATCTATGACTGCAGGTAGAAAATTCTTAGTGTTTCATAAGGAGCAGTTATAGAAATATCTAAAACTTAATGTTTTAGCACTAATTTTATATTAATAAGTATGATAATTTAATATATTTATAGATTATGTAGTCCAGATGATTATTTATCAACATACAGTTTTAATGGTCCCACAAGATCACCATCAACATGTAGTTATGTGCAATACAGTGGATATTTTTTCTGTCAAACTGTTCAGTCCACCATTAAGTCTATCAGGTATGATATATTTACAAAAAATTATCAAGTATGGTTTTGTGCATGATAAGGAAATATAGTATAGATATGATATACACAAGTCTGATCTGGGACTGTTTTCACAAAAAATCTTTAAAGTAAAAATACTCGTAAGCATACATTTCAGTATATATACCTTACAAGAAATTTTAATCGTAAGTTTTTTGTGAAAACAGTTGCAGATGTGAAGGCTGTTGTTAAAATGGACAATTTTGATTCAATAGTCTTTTACATCAGACTATAAATATTCTTACTGCTTTTATCTTGAAAAAACTAAAGTCTGAGGTCAATGTGCTAATCCCTGCAACTTTTAAAAAACATTGATATTTGTTGTTTCTCTTCAAAGCATTTGGGAAAAACATCAATGGCTTGTCTGTGCTAGCTATATATAGATTACAATATTTTGACAAATATTTTGGATTTACACTAGGGGGAGATAGATGGAGATAATTCACATGCTTCCAGCTCATGACCTTAATCGGATTTGTGTAGAGTTGAAGTGTGTCATTGTTTTACATTGGTGTGCAAAAAAAATAAATATTGGAAGCATTGCTTACTTAAGTCTAAACCATTATAAATCTGTAAACTTTTGATTATAAGACATATATAATATAATTTTATTTTTACAGAAAAAAATGAACTCAACAAATTTGTTATTCGTTCAAGGTCAGAAAAGAGTAAATGTAAAATAACACATTATATATATTATTATTTTTCAATTCATGTCTGATTCAGATGTACATAATGGTGCTGTAGGCAGGAAATGTGCAGACAATTGTGGTTGTCTATAAACAAATTCCCCAAATTCCAGTTTATAGAGCTTGATAAGGGATTATTTGGATGGCCAAATCAGAAAAAAAAAGCCTGAAAGGTTTAAAGAAATCAGTAAACAAGAAAAAAATGGCAGTACAATTTTCAGGCAGTTGAAGTAATGCAATTTTGGAATATTATAAACTGCTAGAATTAGATGTAAATGTATTGGAAGAGATGACTCATTCAAATGAATTATAAAAAATATCTGTATCTATTTGGAAAAAAATTACATTGGAAGGCTTGACCTTATCAATGTGGCAATTATGCATTTTTCAGAATTTTCAGATAATTGACATTTGCCATGGTATTTCAACAGAACCTAGATGAGTTTGTCCCATAACATACAGTGTTTCATTTAGACAGTTTTCAAAGATCTCCACTTCATTCCTTTTTTATGACGCCCTATATAATATAAGAAGGTGTGGTATGATTGCCAGTAACATGAGTAAGACAACTATTCAAATGAAGCAGATTTAAGCAACTATAGGTCACCATACAGCTTTCAACAATGTGCAAAACCTGTAGTGTATAGCTTGGTTGATGATAAAAAAAAGAAACGATAAATAACAATTGACAACCACTGAATTATAGGCTCTTGACTTGGGACAGGCACATATTGAATGTGGCAAATTTAATTTTGTTTGGGAGAACTCAACGCTCCTCCTTACCTGGGACAATTGTGTAACAGCCCACTATAAGAAACTAGAGGCTCTAAAGAGGCTGTGTCGCTTGCCTAGGTCTATGTGCATCTTGTCTTGCTGATCATTTTTGCTTATTTAAGTTTTTATCTATCTATTATAATTTTTAAGATGTAATTCAAAGGCGCAAAAAATCAGTAAAAAGCATCATCAAAGGACAATATAAAGTCTAATTAGGAGTCGACTGACAATTACAACCATCATACTTCTTCGTAGATCTTGTCTCAATGATCATTTTTGCAACTTAAAGTTTCTCTCCATCTATTATAGTTTTCAAGATAAATGGCAAAAATGAAAAAAATGGTAAAATTTTTCATTTAAGGGCAATAACTCCTATAAGAAGTCGCTTGACAGTTTTGACGTCATGAACAATTGGTAGAGCTTGACATTCTGAACATTTTTGCCCTATCAGATTTTCTCTATTTACAAAGGTTTTCAAAATAATAGACAAAACGTGCATTTTACCCCTATGTTCTATTTTTAGCCATGTCGGCCATATTGGTTGGTAGGCTTGAAAGCTTGTACTATATAAAAATAAGAAGATGTGGTATGAATGCCAATGAGACAACTCTCCACATGCCCTTTCATTACTACTTTATACAGCACTTTTTTTCACAGTCGGCAGTGTCATTTATTTTGAAGTTCATAGTATTTCTTTTGTTTCAAAATTTATTAAGGTTTAGATAAAAAAATGGAAAATATTTATTTTGAGCCATCAACAATTTATAGAATATTTTTTTCTGTAAAGGTATTTTTGATAAAAGACTACTGATGGCCAACTTTCCCTAAAGAGCTATCAAATGCTTTGATTGTCTTTTTCTTCACCCACAAGCTGTTCCCTTTGAAAGACAGGAATATTGCTCGGTCAGAGAACATGTTTGACATGAAATGTTGCATATTCATGATCAGTCTGTCAGAATATATGTTATTAAAGTTTTCTGCTTATGTATTTTTTTTTTAGGGAACACATGGAGGAATGGAAGTTACCATGGTGCTCAGTAACGGTACATGGATTTATGGACTCTCCATTGTCATGGAAACAGAGAGAACATGGCTACTTTAACAATGGAGACAATTTATATACATTTATTATATTTCCTGACGATACTTACTGGCTGTATTCTGCTTATGGGTCATATGATTTAGTGTCATAAAATGTATTTAATAAATTTGTCTTAAAACGTGAAGTTTTATCATTGTTCCTCAGAAGTAAAGTATGATATACACCTTCATACATTTACTTCATAACACAGAAGGTAACACATTAATATCACAAAAACTTGATATCATGTATTACAATTTAATAACTTTTGTGTATTAATCAAAGTGACTGAGAAACTAACAAAAGTGCAAAATCTTAAACTTGGTCTAAGTAAGTCATTGAGCCAAGACATTCTAGTCATGCAACGTCAACTGTCATTGGCAGATTGGGAAAACAAAACCAATATCTAATTATATAAAAATATGGCTTGTCTAGATCTTCTACTATCTTAAACATGTTAAATCTTTATGTCATGGTCACAACCAGATGAGAAGGTAAGAATACATGTATTTCTCATTCTCAGACATAAGAAGGTCAGAATACATGTACATTTTTTTTTGTATTTCTCATTCTCAGACATAAGAAGGCCTTGTATTTCTCATTCTCAGACATAAGAAGGCCAGAATACATGTATTTCTCATTCTCAGACATAAGAAGGTCAGAATACATGTACATTTTTTTTTGTATTTCTCATTCTCAGACATAAGAAGGCCAGAATACATGTATTTCTCATTCTCAGACATAAGAAGGTAAGAATATATGTATTTCTCATTCTCAGAATTTATTTGCAGGTCAGACTTACGTAATTTTTCATAAATATGTTTTAATAGGCACCATCTTAATACAAGATACAGTGTAAATAAATGGGGAATGTGTCCATGGGACACGGATGATGCCCCCGCTTGCATATCATATAAAGTTATAAAGGGACATAACTGAAGAACAGTAAAAGTGACGCTACCCAAATTTGTTATTGATCTGAGTTTTATAGTAATAAGTATTGTGTATAAGTTTCATAATATTTGGTTGAGGCAAACTTAAGTTAGAGAACAGAAACGAAAAATTCAGCAATTTTTCCTTTTGTAAAGGGACATAACTCTAGAACGGATAAAGTGACACCACCAAAATTCAAACTTGATCTGTGTTTTGTGGTAATAAGCATTGTGTATAAGTTTCATAACATTTGGTTGAGGCAAACTAAAGTTGGAAAACGGAAACCAACTTTGGGACGTACATATGGACGGACAAGGGTAAAACTTAATGCCCCCTCCGCTACGGCGGGGGCATAAAAACAAGGCTGATCATAACAAAACAGGGTAACATGAAAAACAGCTATATAACTGCTCTTATTGTATATTTATTTACTCAGTAATCTTATGTGCAAACATCTATTTCTTTTCTATAATAAAAAAATAGTGAGATGACTTTCCATACAGACCAAAGGACAAAGATGTGAACAGTCAATGTATGGTGTATGGCCTTCAACAGTGAACAAAGCCCATGCTGTAAAATAATCTTTAAAAGACCCCGTTTGTGAGGACTCAACTCTCCTAACCTGAGACGTGGGTGTAACAACACAAGAACAAGCTGTAAAAAACTCATTTGAAAGGACTTGACCAATCACATTGGTACTAAGCACAAGAACAAATAGCATAAATAAAAAAGACACAAAGTATTAATCTAAGAGTACTCACAATTACTGAAAGCCCAATTTCATCTAATAAATAAACCTGGAATTGTTTATTCAGACAAAAATATCTAAACCTCCAATGTATGTTGTGTTAAGTCTTCATAAATAAAACGAGAAAAGAATAACCTTTTGCAATGCCAAAATATAAGTATTGATTGGATCTAGAACCATTATTGTTATTACCAGTAAAGCAATACATGTTTCGTTATATATATATAGTTATTAAAAATAAAATCAATGTTAGCAGCAATAACAATAATATTCATAGATCATACTACACTACTTTGAGATTGAGTTTATTCAAAAGAACAATAACTTTATATAGATTTTATCTTAATTAGGGCCCTGCTGAATGGCGGACGTCCTATAGTGATCAGTCTGTCCGTCCATCCGTCCGTCCGTCCGCCCGTCCTTAAAAAATTGTGTCCGCTCTATATCTAGAGAACCGTTATGATTTCAAAGTTTATACTTGACATGTATTTTAACCAACACCAGAGGGTGTGTCATAATGTATGTACAACTTCCTAGGTCAAAGGTCAAGGTCAAAAACTTTGGTTTTAGTTGACAACCCCATGTCCTATGGTAAAGATCGTGTCCGCTCTATATCTTGAGAACCGTTATGATTTCAAAGTTTATACTTGACATGTATATAAACCAACACCAGAGGGTGTGTCATAATTTATGTACAACTTCCTAGGTTAAAGGTCAAGGTCATAAACTTCGGTTTCAGTTGACAACCCCATGTCCAATGATAAAGATACAAATTTTTTACCACACATTATTCACAGCGGGGCCCACAGATATGCCTCCCATCTCAATGATATCTAGTTGACTTAATTTAGAATGTGATATCCCACTTTTTTAGGAATTTACTAAAGCCTTTTCTAGTCACTACACACACAGGGATGGAGATGTGTTGGTGGAAATACAAAATGTAAGATGGGAAGAAGGAACATCCCTTTGAAAACTGGAGGCTCTAAAGAGCCTGTCTCTCGTCTGAATCTATGTGCATCTTCATAAATGGCCACTCTCAAACATTGTAGACTAAAATCTCAATTTTGTTAATCGTATAAGCTGATCCTTTTTTTGTAAACAGTTTATATATATCTACTATAATATTTGCCCAAAACACAAAAAATTGGTGAAAATCATTATTAAAGAGCAATAACTCTCAAAAGGAGTTAACTGACAATTTCCTCTATGCTGCCCTTTTTGAATATTTGTCTTGCTGATCATTATTGCTTTATAATTTTTCTTTCGCATTGTACGAGTTTCTAAAGAGCCTGTGTCACTCACTTGTGTCAGTGACAGCGTCGGCATTTGTTAGATTGTGATTAGGTCAACATTAAGGAGAACCAATTATGTTAAGTCAATGATATTTGGTATGCAGTTGTATAAACATTGTCACATCTTATTCCTATGCAGATTATATGTCCCTGCCCCCCTAAGTCATTGTCTATTAGTTTTGAAACTTTTGCATAGTTACATGTTAAAGTTTGTAAATAAGTCAGTTTAAGGCCTATACCAGGGGAACATCTTATGACCTTTGACTGAGATGTTTTGTAGATCATGTCCTGCTAATCAATTTTGCTAGTAAAAGTTTACAGTTATCAAGATGATAGGCAAAATTAAAAAAAATAAGGTAAAAATCATCATTTAAGGGCAATAACTCCTTTAAGGAGTCTTCTTACCATTTTTGACAAAATAGGCAGCATGTAGATCTTGTTATTCCGAACATTTCTGCCCTGAAAGATTTTCTTTATCTGTAATGGGTTTCAAGACAGTAGACCAAACTTCCATTTTAAGTTCTATTTAAACTATGTCTGTCATAATAGTAGGCAGACTGGATTATCAGACAATATTGTTTTAAAATAGATACCCAAAGAATGATAATGGTCAAGTTTGGTTCCAATTGGCCTGGAATTTTCAGAGGAGAACAGGTGACAGACAAGAGACACTCAGTGATGGCAATAGCTCACACTTACCCTTTGAGCCAAGTGAGCTAAAAAGAAAATTCTCAATTGAAAGTAATCAATATTATATATCGACTTCATAACAGAATAACAAATATTTCACTTTTTATTAGGTCTAAATAATATTATATATATTTAATTGAATACCTTTTTACAGTAACGTAAAGGCATGTTAAGGGAGGTGTCTATATTTAATAATTCATGAGTTGTAGTAAAATCTTTCAGATTTTTTCTAGATGCATAATTCTGTGATTTGTTAATGGACCAGGATTACCTTTTAATATGCAGATTTTTAAGAATCTACCAAAGACAAAGTTTCATGAACATCTGATGAAGCAGTATCAATAGTTTCTGACTACAAAAGGGCATAACTTGGATTTGCCAACAGACCATGATGCCTTTTTATACGACCAAAAAAAAATTTTAGGAATTAGGGGCCAAAAAAGGGGAAAAAAACAAGCATTTTTCTAGTTTCATGACAATAACTTGTGTGTAAGTGTATGGACCTTTCTGAAAGTGTACTACAAGGTTCCATATCACAAAGGGAAAGCTGGAATTGAGTTTGGGGGTTACATTGTCTAAAACCTTTAGGAATAAGGGGCCAAAAAGGGGGAAAAAAAAACCATTTTTCTAGTTTCCAGACAATAACTTGTGTTAAAGTGTATGGATCTCTCTGAAATTGTACTGCAAGGTACCATACCACAAGGGAAAGGCTGGGATTGATTTTGGGGGTGATTGCCTCAAAATTTTAGGAATTAGGGGCCAAAAACGGACAAAAAACAAGCATTTTTCTAGTTTCAGGACAATAACTTGTGTGTAAGTGTATGGATCTTTATGAAATTGTACTACAAGGTTCCATATCACAAAGGGAATGCTGGGATTGATTTTGGGGGTAATTGCCTCAAAATGTTAGGAATTAGGGGCCAAAAAAGGGGCAAAAAACAAGCATTTTTCTTGTTTCATGACAATAACTTGTGTGTAAGTGTATGGATCTTTCTGAAATTGTACTACAAGGTTCCATATCACAAAGGGAAAGCTGGAATTGAGTTTGGGGGTAATTGCCCAAAATGTTTAGGAATAAGGGGCCAAAAATAAGCATTTTTCTAGTTTCCAGACAATAACTTGTGTTCAAGTGTATGGATCTCTCTGAAATTGTATTGCAAGGTACCATACCACAAAGGGAAGGCTGGGATTGATTTTGGGGGTAATTGCCTCAAAATTTTGGGAATTAGGGGCCAAAAACAAGCATTTTTCTAGTTTCAGGACAATAACTTGTGTGTAAGTGTATGGATCTTATGAAATTGTACTACAAGGTTCCATATCACAAAGGTAAAGCTGGGTTTGAGTTTGGGGGTAATTGCCCAAAATGTTTAGGAATAAGGGGCCAAAAATAAGCATTTTTCTAGTTTCCAGACAATAACTTGTGTTCAAGTGTATGGATCTCTCTGAAATTGTACTGCAAGATACCATGCCACAAAGGGAAGGCTGGGATTGAGTTTGGGGGTGATGAATCATATGGGGGTTCAAAAAATTGGGTGGGGGGGTTTTTTTTTTCCTTTTTTTTCTTTAAAATTTTCCATTTTAAATTGGTTATTTCTGATTTATATATAAAAGCAAATAATAATGATATGGTTTCAATAGGTAAATTCAAAATTTTTAAGTTCTTAGACCATATTCATTCTGTGTCAGAAACCTATGCTGTGTCAAATATTTAATCACAATCCAAATTCAGTGCTGTATCAAGCTTGAAGGTTGTGTCCATACTTGCCCAAACTGTTCAGGGTTGGACCTCTGCGGTCGTATCAAGCTACGCCCAGCGGAGCATTTTATTAATATTGGAATCTTCAATTCAGAATCTTTCAATGTACAAAGTTTCATGGACTTTAAATGCTGCATGAGGTGTGGTATAAATATAAAGACAAAATATATAAACATAAAGACAAATTGTCATGGTCTATAATGTGTTTATTCAACAAAACGTACATGCAATATGAACATAACACATTGTCACAGAATAAGAAACTATTCAAAACTTTTTATTAAAAGATGGTTCACGATTTTTTCATGTTTTTGTTACAAAAAGTTAGGCCATCAACTGAAGACTGGTCAATATCAGAGTCTTTTACTAATTCTGATCATTATATATCAAAGGTAGTTCAGCTACAGTAATGCTGTAAATTCCCTCCCTTTATTAGATAATTTCTTTACCTGACTATTTATATACTACTTTAGTAACTAAATGTTATTTTGCTACACATGTATATCTATATATTTAATCTGATATAATTAGCTTCCATGAAAAATATATGGTTATTAAATAAAACTTGAACACAATTTAAAGCAAGGTTTACAAGGTATATTATTGTAGCAATATTATGAAGCTATTAAACAATGACATGTATAATAAATAAATAAGGTTCAAATATACAACAGTTTGGTAACACATATATAAAATCACAAGGGCCAGTTCATACATTGTAAGCTAAGAATACACAACCTAGAGAGACAGAATCCCTGACTAATATCTCCAATCATTCTGAGAAGAACCTAGAGAGACAGAGTCCCTGACTAATATCTCCAATCATTCTGACAAGAAGATGTAAGTCAAAAGGGAATGATAGTTTTGGACAAACACTAAAAGTTGATATATGAATGTTTCATTTTTATTCTTCAAATTCATAATTTTCATCAGTAAAAGCCATGAACCTATTCAATTTACAATGTATCATGTAAATTTGATGAATTCACAAGCTGTTTACATATGTAGACTTTACATATGACCTATGTAACAACACTTTATCGTCTTATATAACTTCATATAACACAAATCCTGTTATTGATATATTGCTTTTTGAATAAACATAAAAAATATATTATGAAAATAAAGTTATAAATATTGATGAGATACAAAACTACATAAAAATAAATGAACTTTATGAGCTGCATTGGATAGAAATCAACCTTATGCAAATGATTATTAACACATCTGTTAACCTATTTCTAGTTGAAAAAATATTTATGGAAAGTCTGTTACTGTTTGAAAATTGAGCTGTTATAAGAAAATTTACAAAAACAGACCAAAATTCATCTTTTTATTTTGTATTTGAATGTTCCAAAATCAATCAAAGTCTTAAAAATGTACATGTACATATGCACTTGCATAAGGTTGATTTCTATCCCACGCAGCTCATATGTAACATAACAACAAAAGAAGACACTCAAACTTAAATAGAGGTTAACTAAATAACTTGTAACTATCCTGGTGACAGAGAAAAGGGGTTAAATTTACCTTAACATAAAAATGACTTCCCTTTCTACTGTTTATAGCCTTAAATTATTATCCAAATAAGTATAGATTATTCGGTTTTCTACACATTGATATTGTAAAATATCAGTCACTAGCCACAATGTGAACTTGTTTGGTGAGTGAGCACAGCAAAAGAGCAAAACAGCTTCACATTGTGTGGGGTGGCTGATATTTTACAATATCTATACATAGAAAACCTAATAATCTGTTTATCTTTCTGTTACTAGTCTTTTAACCTTTCCTTAGACGGTTTTAAGCTTAACAAAAGTAAGCTTGATAACGTCTCATCACACATTGTGACGTCTCTGATAATGTCTGCTCACGCCTCAAAGCTGTGATACAAGAATTACTGAGCAGGGTGATAACGGCCAGGGAACGACAATAACAGTAATTACCAGGTGTGGCTGATTAGTTGTCCTTCAACACCTAAGACCTCTAGATTTAGACCCTAGACTAAGTGAGACTATTAACTTGTTAAAAATTCTCACAACAATTTTTAGAATAATGATATGATAACATGCAATAACAAATATATCAAGTGTACATCAATAAAAATAAAATAATACCACAAAACTGACAGCAAGCCCTGAGCTGTGATGATAATACAAAAATTTTCTTTGCTAATTTTATGACTTATTGGAAAGTCTCAATTTTGATTATTCTATATGTAAATATAGTTTTATTCTTTCAAAGATTTCAGGATAATTTAGAAAAAAAAAAAAAAAAGTCAAATGTAACAAATCGATTTCAGTATTTTCCATTTTTAGTGTTTACTGACAATAAACTTGCATAGCCATTAAACAAATATTTGTCGCTGTACAACCCAAAGTTTACACAAATGGCTATCTATAGTGAAATGAAAATGCATATTTACAGTACCTTTCACACACATTCTATAAATTTATAGATCTTTTTCACACGTTTTATTTTTTTCAATATTCAGGTGCAATTTGATCTAAATGTTTACAAAATTTATTTAAAATTTCAAAAAATCAACTTCTTAAAAATATTTGCAATAAGTACAATATTTTGCATAATTTTAATGAAATCCAATAGGTGGATAGGCTAGTTGATGTAACCAACTAAATTTTTTGGAGTTAAGTAATCATTGATTTAAATTTTCTGGTACAACACTGATGATTACATAAGTTCCTACTTTCCTGAAACAACACTAAACACATTTTTTTCTGAATAAGTGTTGTAAAAATCAGTCAATAAATAACAATTTTTTTTATTCCATTCTTAATTGACAAAATGTTCAAGCTCAGTTTCAAAAATGTTGTGTTTTGTTACATAAAGAATTCTACATCTATTCAGCCTCCACAATATCTTGATATGATAATTTCACAAACATGGCAAGTTATACACAACTAATGTTAACTTTTCCTTTTGGTCACTTTGTATATCTTGGGAATAAATGTTAGATAAAACATCAATGAAATGAAGATTAAAATATCTGTAAGATAATTCAAACTGAGAAGTTAAACAATATTATGTCAATGTCACAATAAATTGCTTCGCCAAGCGCAGCTGGATATGACTGCAGAGGTCCAACCCTGAACAGTTGGGGCAAAAATGGACACAATATTCGTGCTTGATACAAGTATATTTAACACATAATAGATTTCTGACACAGAATAACTGTAGTCAAAGAACTTAGAATTGGTTATATAATTTGAATTTATATTCAATGTTTTGCTTTTGTGCAATATGCTATGCTGTTGCGAATTGCCCCCCCCCCCCAACAAAAACAAAAAAATTACCCCCCCCCCCCCCCCTCCTTTTGAGAAAAAAAAAAAAAAAATTTTGCGGTCGTATAAAAATATCAATGTTTTTGCATTCTGCACAAAACTATTTGTTTCTTAGCCTCATACAAAAAAGTGGATATTTTCTGACATTGACCTTATATTGTTTATATATACATACACCTACATATAGGTTTTTTATATACGTATCTATATCAGACAAAATCCTTCAGATTTCATAGGTTTACACAAATGCTATTCTTCTTTGCAGATCATCAAGCACAGCCAGTTTTTAACAAAGTATTTAGTTATGTATCTTGTTCAATATTAATCAAAGCTGCCAAAACTTCCAAAACTACCACAACTACCAAAACTACTTAAAGAACTCCAACTTCCATGGTGACCTAAACCGAATCCTCCGAATGGACCTCCAAATCCTCCAAATCCCCCACCCATCATCCTACTGGCTCCATATCCCAGGGCAGCACCACCTACCAAACCTGAAAATGGGAAATGCATAACATTAACTAATTATAATCTCAACAGAACTTGTAGAAAAGATGATTTATTTACCAATTTAAAATTTTTAAGTAAAAGACGTACTAGCAAAATTAACCCTGAACCCTAAGGGTATGTTTGAGTTTTTAGTTGTTTGAATTTTGAAATCTACATATAAAACAGAAATTCAATCTTTTAAATTGGATGGTAAAAAATGTTCTATTACACTGCATCAGCTTCATAGTGACAACCTTACTCTAGCATTGGGTTAGACGGGTTCATTTCTTCTCAGTCAAGCCTTCATGTAGATCAAGTTATCAAAAGGAGTAGGTTCGATAAGGCCCTAAAATGGCCCTTAATTCTAGCTGAAATTTGAAATCAGGATTTATTGACCAATGTCACAAGGAATCATAGGTAATATAATGACTAGATTGGAAAAACGTCTTTTTGTTGAAAATTTATGTTTTTGCGTTCTATTCATGACGTCACAAATAGCACTCATTTTGATTTTCCGCGAAAATTCGATGAAAACAGGTAAATTTACATTGATTTTTTGAAGAGGAAACATAGAGCGCATGCGTCGACAACAAAGAAATTTTAGCCTAATGTTTGTTATGAAATTTTACATATCTGACTTGAATATTTTGTTTGTCGAAGCCTGCGCTCTATGTTTCCCAGGTCTTAATTTGGTTGAAATCCGGACGATTTTGTCTAATGTCGCAAAAATCTCTTTTTTTAACCTATTTGGGATGTAAAAATCAATGCTTGAAAATAAAACTTTGGCAAAAATAGTTTTATTTAACTTTCTCACATGTCTTTTCGTCAACTTAAAAACACATTTTATCCTGAAACATTGAACTTTATAATCGGGGCCAAATTTGGCCCTTACTGAACTTCCTCCTTTAGGAAATTATCGAAAAACAAATGTTAAAAATATCAAACTATGACTTTAATTACCTGCTGCGAGTTTGCCTTTATTGCCTAGACCCCCTTTTTTCTTATGGTGTTGCTGGACTACAACTGGTTGTTGTTGGTAATAACCTGGTTGCTGCTGGTACCCATAGGCTCCTACAATTATAATGGTATAACATTATTTACCAAGATTTGGACTTGCAACTTTATTTTACCAATTATCTGGAAATAAAAAAATATATCCTCAAGGAGAAAAGATCAGGCACTACCTTCTTAGAAACATCAGTAACTTACTACAAAGCCACATACATAAGACAAATCTTTTAATATCTTTTCAATGAAGTGAACCTAAAAATATTTTTAGTGATATCAAAGGCAGTTTTGTTATCTAATGTGATGATCAAATACAACATTGACAAACATATATTAATATTCTTTATTATAAACTTAGTAGTAAATACAGATAAATTGTATATGTAATACAGTCATTGGCAAGCTTGCTGTATCAGCCACCTGTGATGATATCGATATCAGCACGTTTGCAAAGGCTTTATCACACCTTTAATCTGTATGACGTCACATCATTGATTGCAGTCACTGTTGCAAAGGTTTTATCAAACCTCTAATCTGTATGACGTCATTTCAACCCCCCTTATCTGTATGACGTCATATCACATAAAACACATCTACGTGAGGTATATGTATATAATAAAGTGTATATGATATGGCTTTTTCAATATCACACACCGTATCAACTCTCAACCAATATAATCCCTCGAGCAGAGCTCTTGGGATTATATTGGTGTCTCGGGTTGATACGGATGTGGTATTGAAAAAGCCATATGATATTCTCTATTAATACATAAACCTCATTAAGGGCATACGTTACAAGGGAGGTAATGACATTGCAACATAAAAGTATGGCATATCCAGAAAAGATGTATTTTTCTACTAGCTTGAAAATGAGTTCATGGACTCCTGTTTTTCAAAATGACATTTAGCTATTATTATGTAAAAAGATTATTTGTACCAATATTGAGGAAAAAAATCACTGAAGATTATTTATTTTTTTAAATTAGATAAATTAACAGCAAAAAATGCTGGTTTATTCTGAAATCATGAACATTTAATAAATATTAATAATTTCCAAAGAATTTCTTCACAAATTTAATGTATACTTAAAATGTAAAGAAGATATTACAAATGATTTTACAAAAAACTGCTTGTATTTATCTGTTGTAACAATAAAGTTAAGTTTTTCTACACAAAGTTTAAAACAAGTGTCCAAAAGACGAAATTTTGAGTAAATATCTAATATGACAACAACATTTATCCCTAAAAGTAGCATATGAAGGTAGTTTTTTTTTACATATTTGAATTCAATACGTAAAAAATAGCATGTAGGCAAATTTTTGTCAAAAATCACTGTGGGATCAAAAGTGTATTGTTTGCCCTTCAATGTATTACATGGTTGAAGTTGGCTGTATCCTATACTGCCTTTTTGGTGTTTCTTTAGTAACATTCATATTGTCATGGATTTGATAGGGAGAATGTAAATCAAAATAACAAAAATTAAAACTTCCTAGACTCAAAGCTTTCAACATACTAACATGCTCCTTGTATCTGGGTTGCAGAATGTCATGTTGAAGACTATTATGATAAAACAAAGTGAACTGTTTCCTAATAAGAAAATGGTGCATTACTTTAGGACATAAGATAACTATTACCTTAATTGTGATAATATTTTTGTGATAGTGGAGTGTTATTGTTTGAAAAAATAAACTGTTACCTTCCATGAAAGAAGAGTGCTGAGTTATTAGAAAGCAGAGTGTTACCTAAGGAGAAAGTAGAGTGTTGAGTTATTAGAAAGCAGAGTGTTACCAAGAGAGAAAGAAGAGTGCTGAGTTATTAGAAAGCAGAGTGTTACCTAATGAGAAAGTAGAGTGTTGAGTTATTAGAATACAGAGTGTTACCAAGAGAGAAAGTAGAGTGTTGAATTATAAGCAAACAAAGTGTTACCTAATTAGAAAGTAGAGTGTTGAGTTATAAGAAAGTAGAGTGTTGAGTTATAAGAAAGTAGAGTGTTACCTAATGAGAAAGTGGAATGTTGAGTTATTAGAAAGCAGAGTGTTACCTAATGAGAAAGTGGAATGTTGAGTTATTAGAAAGCAGAGTATTACCTAATGAGAAAGTGGAATGTTGAGTTATTAGAAAGCAGAGTGTTACCTAATGAGAAAGTGGAATGTTGAGTTATTAGAAAGCAGAGTGTTACCTAATGAGAAAGTGGAATGTTGAGTTATTAGAAAGCAGAGTGTTACCTAATGAGAAAGTGGAATGTTGAGTTATTAGAAAGTAGAGTGTTACCTAATGAGAAAGTAGAATGTTGAGTTATTAGAAAGCAGAGTGTTAACTAATGAGAAAGTGGAATGTTGAGTTATTAGAAAGCAGAGTGTTACCTAATGAGAAAGTGGAATGTTGAGTTATTAGAAAGCAGAGTGTTACCTAATGAGAAAGTGGAATGTTGAGTTATTAGAAAGCAGAGTGTTACCTAATGAGAAAGTGGAATGTTGAGTTATTAGAAAGCAGAGTGTTACCTAATGAGAAAGTGGAATGTTGAGTTATTAGAAAGCAGAGTGTTACCTAATGAGAAAGTAGAATGTTGAGTTATTAGAAAGCAGAGTGTTACCTAATGAGATAGTGGAATGTTGAGTTATTAGAAAGCAGAGTGTTACCTAATGAGAAAGTAGAATGTTGAGTTATTAGAAAGCAGAGTGTTACCTAATGAGAAAGTGGAATGTTGAGTTATTAGAAAGCAGAGTGTTACCTAATGAGAAAGTGGAATGTTGAGTTATTAGAAAGAAGAGTGTTACCTAATGAGAAAGTAGAGTGTTGAGTTATTAGAAAGCAGAGTGTTACCTAAAGAGAAAGTAAAGTGTTGAGTTATAAGAAAGCAGAGTGTTACCTAATGAGAAAGTGGAATGTTGAGTTATTAGAAAGCAGAGTGTTACCTAATGAGAAAGTAAAGTGTTGAGTTATAAGAAAGCAGAGTGTTACCTAATGAGAAAGTAGAGTGTTGAGTTATAAGAAAGCAGAGTGTTACCTAATGAGAAAGTAAAGTGTTGAGTTATAAGAAAGCAGAGTGTTACCTAATGAGAAAGTGGAATGTTGAGTTACTAGAAAGCAGAGTGTTACCTAATGAGAAAGTAAAGTGTTGAGTTATAAGAAAGCAGAGTGTTACCTAATGAGAAAGTAAAGTGTTGAGTTATAAGAAAGCAGAGTGTTACCTAATGAGAAAGTGGAATGTTGAGTTATTAGAAAGCAGAGTATTACCTAATGAGAAAGTAGAGTGTTGAGTTATAAGAAAGCAGAGTGTTACCTAATGAGAAAGTAAAGTGTTGAGTTATTAGAAAGCAGAGTGTTACCTAATAAGAAAGTAAAGTGTTGAGTTATAAGAAAGCAGAGTGTTACCTAATGAGAAAGTAAAGTGTTGAGTTATTAGCAAGTAGAGTTTTGAGTTAATAGCAAGCAGAGTGTTACCTAAAGAGAAAGTAGAGTGTTAAGTTATAAGAAAGCAGAGTGTTACCTAATAAGAAAGCAGAGTGTTACCTAATAAGAAAGTAAAGTGTTGAGTTATTAGAAAGCAGAGTGTTACCTAATAAGAAAGTAGAGTGTTACCTAATGAGAAAGTAGAGTGTTACCTAATAAGAAAGCAGAGTGTTACCTAATAAGAAAGTAGAGTGTTGAGCTATAAGAAAGCAGAGTGTTACCTCGTGAGAAAGAAGAGTGTTGAGTTATAAGAAAGCAGAGTGTTACCTCATGAGACAGTAGAGTGTGGAGTTATAAGAAAGCAGAGTGTTACCTAATGAGAAAGTAGAGTGTTGAGTCATAATAAAGCAGAGTGTTACCTAATAAGAAAGTAGAGTGTAGAGTTATAAGAAAGCAGAGTGTTACCTCATGAGACAGAGGAGCATTACTTTAAGACATAGGATAACTGTTACATAATGGGATATTGGAGTGTTACATTATGATAAAGTTAATTGTTTCTTGTGTGACAGTGGAGTGTTACTGTGCGAAATATCAAGCAGTTACCATATGATAAACTGTTATGGTACCTAAAAAGACAGAGGACTTTTACCTTGTGAGACAGTAAACTGCTACCTAAAAAGATAGAGGAGTGTTACCTTGTGAGACCGTAGACTATTATCTTATGTAAAAGTGGACTATTACCTTGTGACAGTAAACTGTTTAACACATAAGATAGAGAAGTGTTACCTTGTGAGACAGTAGACTGTGACCTTTTAAGACAGAGGAGTGTTACCTTGTGAAATAGTAGACTTATTATCTTATATAAAAGTGGACCATTACCTTGTGACAGTAAATTGTCTAACTTATAAGACAGAGGAGTGTTACCTTGTGAGACAGTAGACTGTTACCTTATAAGACAGAGGAGTGTTACCTTGTGAGACAGTAGACTGTTACCTTATAAGACAGAGGACTGTTACCTTGTGAGACAGTAGACTGTTATCTTATAAGACAGAGGACTGTTACCTTGTGAGACAGTATACTGTTACCTTATAAGACAGAGGACTATTACCTTGTGAGACAGTAGACTGTTACCTTATAAGACAGAGGAGTGTTACCTTGTGAGACAGTAGAGTGTTGAGTTATAAGAAAGCAGATTGTTACCTCATGAGACAGAGGAGCATTACTTTAAGACATACGATAACTGTTACATAATGGGATATTGGAGTGTTACATTATGATAAAGTTAATTGTTTCTTGTGTGACAGTGGAGTGTTACTGTGCGAAATATCAAGCAGTTACCATATGATAAACTGTTATGGTACCTAAAAAGACAGAGGACTTTTACCTTGTGAGACAGTAGACTGCTACCTAAAAAGATAGAGGAGTGTTACCTTGTGAGACCGTAGACTATTATCTTATGTAAAAGTGGACTATTACCTTGTGACAGTAAACTGTTTAACACATAAGATAGAGAAGTGTTACCTTGTGAGACAGTAGACTGTGACCTTATAAGACAGAGGAGTGTTACCTTGTGAAATAGTAGACTTATTATCTTATATAAAAGTGGACCATTACCTTGTGACAGTAAACTGTCTAACTTATAAGACAGAGGAGTGTTACCTTGTGAGACAGTAAACTGTTACCTTATAAGACAGAGGAGTGTTACCTTGTGAGACAGTAGACTGTTACCTTATAAGACAGAGGACTGTTACCTTGTGAGACAGTAGACTGTTACCTTATAAGACAGAGGACTGTTACCTTGTGAGACAGTAGACTGTTACCTTATAAGACAGAGGACTGTTACCTTGTGAGACAGTAGACTGTTACCTTATAAGACAGAGGAGTGTTACCTTGTGAGACAGTAGTGTTGAGTTATAAGAAAGCAGAGTGTTACCTCATGAGACAGAGGAGCATTACTTTAAGACATACGATAACTGTTACATAATGGGATATTGGAGTGTTACATTATGATAAAGTTAATTGTTTCTTGTGTGACAGTGGAGTGTTACTGTGCGAAATATCAAGCAGTTACCATATGATAAACTGTTATGGTACCTAAAAAGACAGAGGACTTTTACCTTGTGAGACAGTAAACTGCTACCTAAAAAGGTAGAGGAGTGTTACCTTGTAAGACCGTAGACTATTATCTTATGTGAAAGTGGACTATTACCTTGTGACAGTAAACTGTTTAACACATAAGATAGAGAAGTGTTACCTTGTGAGACAGTAGACTGTGACCTTATAAGACAGAGGAGTGTTACCTTGTGAAATAGTAGACTTATTATCTTATATAAAAGTGGACCATAACCTTGTGAGACAGTAGACTGTTACCTTATAAGACAGAGGACTGTTACCTTGTGAGACAGTAGACTGTTATCTTATAAGACAGAGGACTGTTACCTTGTGAGACAGTAGACTGTTACCTTATAAGACAGAGGACTGTTACCTTGTGAGACAGTAGACTGTTACCTTATAAGACAGAGGAGTGTTACCTTGTGAGACAGTAGAGTGTTTAGTTATAAGAAAGCAGAGTGTTACCTCATGAGACAGAGGAGCATTACTTTAAGACATACGATAACTGTTACATAATGGGATATTGGAGTGTTACCTTGTGAGACAGTAGACTGTTACCTTATAAGACAGAGGAGTGTTACCTTGTGAGACAGTAGACTGTTACCTTATAAGACAGAGGACTGTTACCTTGTGAGACAGTAGACTGTTACCTTATAAGACAGAGGACTGTTACCTTGTGAGACAGTAGACTGTTACCTTATAAGACAGAGGAGTGTTACCTTGTGAGACAGTAGACTGTTACCTTATAAGACAGAGGAGTGTTACCTTGTGAGACAGTAGACTGATATCTTATACGACAGAGGACTGTTACCTTGTGAGACAGTAGACTATTATCTTATATAAAAGTGGACCATCACCTTGTGAGACAGTAGACTGCGACCTTATAAGACAGAGGACTGTTACCTTGTGAAATAGTAAACTGTTACCTAAGGAGACTAATGAATCTGTAGCTGAAGGTTTATGTAATTTGGGGAGCCTGACTGTAGTCCTGAGGTGGTTGAGCATAGGCTAATTGTATAACTACCTGGAGGAGGCTGACTGTATCCCTGTGGTGGTGGAGCATACCCTTGCTGGTGGTATACAGGTTGCGGTGGAGGAGCATACTGTTGTGTGGGATAACTCTGTGGATATCCTTGTGAGTAAGGCTGTTGAGGATAAGGCTGAGCTACTGGTTGCTGTGGGTAACCAGGGTATCCACTAGGGGGAGGACCACCTGTAATGAAAAAATATATTAATGCATATCATTTGATGGAAGAGAGCACAATATTCAAATTGAAAATTGGTAGAAATAATTATAAGTTAAGATGTATAATATCTAAAAACAAATGTCTGTATACACACTTCAAAATTTCAGGATACAAATAAATTATAAAAAATTATAGTAAATCAGCTGTGTTACACATCCTGGTCTTTATTTGTTTGATTTTGTTTTTTCTACCATAATGATAAGGCTACCGTCAGCCATTAAGAGTAACCAATCAGCAAACAAAATGTGTGTTCTAACCACAGTTTATAAAACCAAAGCGGCTGATGACAACCATTGACAGATTAAGCTTTGTGATTCTTGATCTGTTAATGACATACCATTGACAGGTTAACCTCTGTGATTAATGACCAGTTAATGACAAACCATTGACAGGTTAACCTCTGTTAAACCCTTGTCATGACATCAGGCTATTCTTTTTCTAGAATTGATGCTTTCTGAATCTGTCCCTGAAATGGACTCACCAAACTATATTCAATTGTTTCCTTTGTGTGCTTGATTTCAATAAGTTTGAATTGGCTAATTTACTGATTTCTGTTCACTCATGGAATTAATTTAAAAACTTACCTTAAACTTTTGTTAATTTTATATGCCTTCACTGGGAATTGAACCCCTCCTTGATGTCTGTTATGTATGACTGACATCAACACAACGACGAAACCTCTCGGCTACCAATGGGTTGCAATTTAGATGTCTATTTTATATATATCAATGAACATATGATACGCATCGGTAATACGGACACACAGGGCTTGTACCTTTATATATACATAGTGGACAATCGTACAGTAAAAGTTGGTAGCCGTGAGGTTTAGATGAATGAATTGTAGAGTCAAGTTAGAATTAGAGATTTTTTGGTTTAGGTTCGAATCCCTGTTTTCTCTTTGTTGTCCCTTTCCTTTAGTTTTCCATTTTTCTTATTTTGTATGTTATTGTGGATATTTTTGTAATAATAGCATTTTTTCTTTTATTTTTTCTTTCATTAATATTTATTAAAGGCATTACAAATGTGTATGGTTAGTGTAAACTATATGTTCAGATGATTTTATAACAGCTGCTTTAAAATATTATCTAATAGCAGCTGTACTTACTGGACGCCAAATATATATAGACCATTTTTTTAGAAGGACATTCAATACATAAATTCACAGTATCACAGCTTCAATTGTGCAGTTTTAGATTCTTTTTGAACTGACTCAAAGATGATTGATAACTACGATTTTGAAAGATCATGTAAATAGTTGAGTACACCTCCACAACCCTAAAATCAAAGCGCGAAAGCGCTGTAAAGGCAGTTAATTACAGGTTGTGTGTATTTTTAGTCCAGTTATATCATTATCTTGCATAGTACAGTGTACTTATCAGAGGTGGCTTTCAGTATTTAAGATTTAGAGTTCTCTAATGATATTGAACAAGTTTTATGAATGTCATATTCTGAGCACTATATGAAGGCGTTTGTTCTCACTTGTTTATGAACTTGTGCATTATATCCAGTTTGTACCTTTTTTATCTATGTTTATAGTCATATTAGTTATCAAAGGTACCAGGATTATAATTTAATACGCCAGACTCGCGTTTCGTCTACATAAGACTCATCAGTGACGCTCAGATCAAAATAGTTATAAAGCCAAACAAGTACAAAGTTGAAGAGCATTGAGGACCCAAAATTCCAAAAAATTGTGCCAAATACGGCTAAGGTAATCTATTCCTTGGATAAGAAAATCCTTAGTTTTTCGAAAAATTCAAAGTTTTGTAACAGGAAGTTTATAAAAATGACCATATAATTGATATTCAAATACTGTTTAAAATAGTCAGGCATTTTCTTTTTAGAAATAAGTAAATGTTATCAACTGTATTTTATTCAACTCTGCAAATGTGGTTTGTTACTGGTAAGTATGGATGATAGTTGTTTCATTGGCAATCATAACACATCTCCTTATTTATATAATGATCTATATTCAACGACCTCAGGTACAAAAAAAATGTATGTAACTAAACTGTGATGGGAAACCTTTGACTTCTTTCTTTTATATAAACTTTTGATTTGGTACCATAGAACTATGTAGAATAAATGTACATTGCAACATGTCAACTCTTTCAATGACAATACTTTTTTAGAAACTATAACTCCAAGCAAAATTATATTTCCAAGTTTAAAGTAATTTATGAATGAAAAAAGGAGTTCTTAATTAAGAAATAAACTGATTCGCTGAGCGCAGCTGGATACACCGCAGAGGTCCAACCCTGAACAGTTGGGGCAAAAATGGACACAATATTCAAGCTTGATACAGGTCTGTATTTGGATTGTAATTAAATATTTTACATATTATAGTTTCTGAATAAATGTAGTCAAAGAACTTGAAATCGGTTATATGAATTGAATTTATATTCAATTAAAGATTTCTTGCTGTTGTGCAATAAACTGTGCTGTTGCGCAATACTTAATAAATCTGTTGCCAGACTATAAAGAATAAAGTTCAATTTCTTCTCAATGTCATATTTGAAATTTATGAAAATCTATAGGGAGATTACATCAATAGCTATAAATAATTCACCCAAGTTTCATGCGAACTGCTTAAAGCATTTTTGAGTTGTTGTCCAACAACAGTGGCACTGTCAGTGCACACGCTGAAATGTCTCGCCTTCTTTACTAATCACTGATATTATGTTGATAGTCCTTAATATAAAGCTTTATTACAACTGTCACATAAACTTAACATTAACCAAGAAAACTAAACATTGACCAATGAACCATGAAAATGAGGTCAAGGTCAGATGAACCATGCCAGGCAGGCATGTACAGCTAACAATTCTTCCATACAACAAATATAGTTGACCTATTGCTTATAGTTTAAGAAAAACAGACCAAAACACAACTAGATACGCCCGCAGAGGTCCAACCCTGAACAGTTGGGGCAAAAATGGACACAATATTCAAGCTTGATTCAGGTCTGAATTTGGATTGTAATTAAATATTTGACATATTATAGGTTTCTGAATAAATGTAGTCAAAGATCTTGAAATTGGTTATATGAATTGAATATGCAATTAAAGATTTCTTGCTGTTGTGCAATACTTAGTAAACCTGTTGTCAGACTATAAACAAATAATGTTCAATTAATTCTCAATGTCATATTAGAAATTTATGAAAATAAAAAGGGAGCTTACAACAATAGATATAAACAATTCACCAAAGTTTTATGAGAATTGGTGACAGCATATTTGAGTTATTGTTCGAAAAACTGGAAAATCACCCCTTTTTTTAATGAATAAAACCCCATAACTCAGAAATGTAAAATGTAAAATTTATAAAATTCTAAAGGGAGCTTACATCAATACACACAAACAATTCACCAAAGTTTCATAAGAATTGCTGTAAGCATTTTAGAGTTTTTGTCCGAAAACTGGAAAATCCCCCCTTTTTTTATGAATAAAACCCTGTAACTCGGAAACGTAAAATCTAAAATTTATAAAAATCGAAAGGGAGCTCATGTCAATAGATATAAACAATTCACCACAATTTCTTGCAAGTTGGTGAAAGCATTCTTGACTTATTGTCCGAAAACTGGAAAATCCCCCTTTTTTTAATGAATAAAACCCCATAACTCGGAAACGTAAAATCTAAATTTTATAAAAAATGAAAGGGAGCTCACGTCAATAAATATAAACAATTCACCAAAGTTTTATGCAAATTGGTAAAAGCATTTTTGAGTTAATGTCCGACATGTTGACGACGGACGGACAACGGTATACCATAATACGTCCCGTAAACGGGCGAATAAAAATTTAACAGAGCAATGAACTGTGAAAATGAGGTCAAGGTCAAATAAAACCTGCGCGACTGACATAAAGATCATAAAATATTTCCATACACCAAATATAGTTGACCTATTGCATATAGTATTAGAAAAAAAGACCAAAACTCAAAATCTTAACTTTGACCACTGAACCATGAAAATGAGGTCAAGGTCAAATGACACCTGCCAGCTAGACATGTACATCTTACAATCATTCCATACACCAAATATAGTAGACCTATTGCATACAGTATAAGAAAAACAGACCAAAACACAAAAACTTAACTATAACTACTGAACCATGAAAATGAGGTCAAGGTCAGATGACACCTGCCAGTTGGACATGTACACTTTACAGTCCTTCCATACACCGAATATACTTGACCTATTGCTTATAGTATCTGAGATATGGACTTGACCACCAAAACTTAACCTTGTTCACTGATCCATGAAATGAGGTCGAGGTCAAGTGAAAACTGTCTGACGGGCATGAGGACCTTGCAAGGTACGCACATACCAAACATAGTTATCCTACTACTTATAATAAGAGAGAATTTAACATTACAAAAAATGTTTAACTTTTTTTTCAAGTAGTCACTGAACTATGAAAATGAGGTCAAGGACATTGGACATGTGGCTGACGGAAACTTCGTAACATAAGGCATCCATATACAAAGTATGAAGCATCCAGGTCTTCCACCTTCTAAAATATAAAGCTTTTAAGAAGTAAGCTAACGCCGCCGCCGCCACATCACTATCCCTATGTCCAGCTTTCTGCGACAAAAGTCACAGGCTCGACAAAAACTGGAAAATCCCAATAAAACACCATAACTCAGAAATGTAAAATCTAAAATTTATAAAATTCTAAAGGGAGCTTACGGATTGATAATTTAGTCTTAGATGCAAGATTTTTATATCAGTTGTTAGTGGCTTTGAACTAGCTGTCAGTAACTGCAAGTACTCTCAGATCTGTACTTTCTGTCTTTTTCTTGTTTGGATGTACAACTACCGGACCACATCCACTTGTATTTGTATTTATCCATCTGATGAGTTAAGCCTCTTTCAAGTGATTTGTATAGTTCGTTCTTATATTGTACTGTTACACCACTGTCCCAGGTTAGGGGGAAGGTTGGGATCCCGCTAACATGTTTAACCCCGACACATTCTGTATGTACATGTATGTGCCTGTCCCAAGTCAGGAGCCTGTAATTCAGTGGTTGTCGTTTGTTTATGTGTTGCATATTTGTTATATTCGTTCATTTTTTGTACATAAATTAGGCCGTTAGTTTTCTTGTTTGAATTGTTTTACATTGTCATTTCGGGCCTTTTATAGCTGACTATGCGGTATGGGCTTTGCTCATTGTTGAAGGCCATACTGTGACCTATAGCTGTTAATTTCTGTGTCATTTGGTCTCTTGTGAGAGTTATCTCATTGGCAATCATACCACATCTTCTTTTTTTATATTTATATCAACAGATCTAAACAATTCACCAAAGTCAAGGTGAGACAACAAAACTTAGTGGTAAGATCTCTGAAATTTTTTACACGGTACAAGTTTTTCTCATTGTTGGAGATTGTACGGTGACAGTAACACCTGTAATTGCTTAAACCCATTTCTTATGCACTTTAGTTCGATAAACTCACTGAATATCATACCACATCTCCTTATTTTTATATGCATTACAATTTACATGTGCATGTAATTATAAATATATATATATCAGAACAAAATTCATTGCGTCACTTTTATTTCTGCATCCTTTGGCACAATACAAGTTTTAAAATTACACAACATAAAACAACTAAATGTTATTTCAGATGAAAGTTTTGTTTCAGTTCCATTCATAGGATTTGTTAGAATTTTGTATGTTGTGCCAAGTCCAATAATTCGCTCTATGTGCACATGTTAATTGGAGACTTTTCTATCCCGTATAAGAGTTTTGGAACTAATTCTGTTTCTTTTTTGAAAAAAGTTAGCAAACAAATCTTGCACATTTAAACCTTTGTCTGCCATCACACTGTCACCTGGATCACATAATTGAACTACATTTTGTATTATGTGCTGTTGGACCAAGTGTGGTCAAAACAAATAAAAATTTAGTATACAACTCTAAACTGGTATAAAAATGCATGGCTGTGTCACGTGTCTTCATTTCAAAATTCTCTGCTGAAAACATAGACATTGATGGTGTTTGCGTAATTCCATCTTTGAAGCTCAACATTAGCTCAGCAGTTGGTGGTGGACAGTCATAAATCCTTTCTGCAGTATGAATGACTTCTTCAGGAAAACCAACTTTACAATCAAAACTTTCCTCTAGATTTCTACTACAATATTCATCAAGTTTAGTTCTTTTGTTTTCACAGGAAACTGCCCTGATTTTTCTTTTTGCGGACGATTCAGTCTCTTGCTTGGTCCAGGAAAATAGGCTGGGAATGGCAGTAGACTTAGGTCTCTGTACATATGGTGGGTTTGCGCCCTGAAAAAGGTTATAAAACATTAGTTTTTTGATAATTAAATGAACTTCCATTAGCAATGTATACTTTGTATTACCTGGCGAAATATTAACTAGATTTATTCATTACAATCTGGATAAAACTATGTTTGCCTGATTCAATGTATGTTATGTAAATCCAAAGGACAAACAATGAGAGACTTATGCAACAAACGTACATTGTTTGTACCTAAATAACTATAATATTGATGAGAGCATGTCATTGTTTTGTTCCTGTTAACATTGCCATTGATATTTTTCAAGAAAGTCTATGAGGCATATATTTTTTTTGTAGCTTATGCATTCCTGTCATTACTACATTAGCATAATTAGTGCTAAAATAATTCTCTGTATGATATACCTCTTGTAAGAAATCATTATAACTGTAGCAATCACCAAAAAATCTCAAACAGATCACATTGAATCGTAATCCAAAAAATTATGACGTCTTGAATTAACCACCCCCTTTTATTCTAAAACGATAATTGCGGTTGTAAACAGGCTTTGGTTTATTCGCATGGCGATTACATATATAACTATATATTTCAAAAAGAAAATAGAGTTTTACCATGAATAGTTTCCTGCACGTAGTCTTTTTCAGTAAAATGTGCCTTGCAAACAACAGCTGATTGAGATGGACTCCACGATGAAATCGTGTTCTCGTCCAATCTGCGTTTGGGCCATGGCGTTGATCCAACTTTTCCTTCTTTTTAAGTCATTTGGAAATGCATGTCCTTCTCTTAAATGACATCCAGGTACACAACAACAAGTACTTGGCATCGTTAATTTAAAATGTAACTGAAATAGTTGCACAGTGCAGAAACCGGAAGTTGAGGAACAGGATCGGCTACCACGGCGCCACCTATTCAGGAACGATAATTTGCTACTTTATATAACTGCGGAATAACAATAACGTTAGACGGGTTCACGTGCATAAACAGAAATGCGCTTTAAATTGTATAATATAATTAATGTTCAGTCGACTCTTAATTATTATATCAACGACTGAAATGATTTATAAACATCTAGATTGCAGATAACACTCGAAATTAACCCGAGCTCTTTCCACACGGAATTCAAATAATTCTAGTTTGTCAATCGGTTGACTGCTTATAATGCAAAATACAAATATATCAAAAGTTTTTAAAACTAACAAAACACAATGATCGTTTCTCTATTTCCCAATGTAAATGAAATGAAACAAAAAACATTTTATATCACAATAAGAAGAGGAGAGAATTCAACATTTCCGGATCTACTTGGAGCCTAATGACCCCCCACGTAGATAAGTTGGATATCGCGGAAGGAAGGATTAACCCGGCAACTAGAAAGGCATTAAAGCACTGCCTTTAAAAATAAAGTGATTTTATTTTATGATATATGTAAAATTGTAACACGTCAATATGTATTATTCTCTTTCGTCTATACATTCTTTAGGGTTTTAAAAACTTTCTGATCACAACCCTGTAGGTGATTTTTATAGAGAAGAATTGTCTTAGTATTTTCAAATGATTGTAATGTCATCTATTTTACTTGGATTTAATAAATTTGGTTATTTTATTTCATACATCAGCACCACCGCAATTCAAACCCCAGCCAGGTCAAACCAAAGACTTTAAAATTGGTATTTGCTGCTTCTCCGCTGAGCACGCTGCATTAAGGAGTAAGAGTTGGCGCGGAGTCAGAATAATGTGTCCAGGTAAGGTGAAATGTCTTCCTGCAGACTGTTACCTTGTGAACAAGCACGTTAAAATCCAGCTCAGCGTGCCGGTCTAGTACAAAGCAGGGTTAATACTCATATTACATTAACATGTTCTCAACCTGAATATGCATATTAATTTGCCGCTGGACTTTAAGCAGCCATCCATCATCATCATCATTATACGTCAGCAACAGAATTTAGTGAAATCTTTTTTTAGCTTAAAATTAAGGTTAATTTCATATTCTACAGATGAGAGGTTAGTATATCATTTCTTTCAAAAATAACTTACTAATGCAAATACAAATACAGTAACTTAGTAGTGAACATACGTGTGTTAATTCAAAGACAGACATGTTATGTTATATTTGTATTTCTCTGATTACTTGTGAACTTTTAATTTATTAAAGCATAGTTGAACATGGTTATTTAAACTCTCTTACAATACCTACTAATTAAGAAAAGGCTTTAATTTTGAAAAGCCATCAGAACAACAGTTAAAGTTAGAGACACAATGGATAAGCGTTGATTCAGGAAAAACAAATCATTCGCCCTCCAGGCTCATGGTTTCTTTTTCAATGCTTATCAATTGCATCTATAATACTGATTAATGACAAGTTAATGACAAACCATTGACAGGTTAACCTCTGTGATTAATGACCAGTTAATGACAAATCATTGACAGGTTAACCTCTGTGATTAATGACCAGTTAATGACAAACCATTGACAGGTTAACCTCTGTGATTAATGACCTGTTAATGACAAACCATTGACAGGTTAACCTCTGTGATTAATGACCAGTTAATGACAAACCATTGACAGGTTAACCTCTGTGATTAATGACCAGTTAATGACAAACCATTGACAGGTTAACCTCTGTGATTAATGACCAGTTAATGACAAACCATTGACAGGTTAACCTCTGTGATTAATGACCAGTTAATGACAAACCATTGACAGGTTAACCTCTGTGATTAATGACCTGTTAATGACAAACCATTGACAGGTTAACCTCTGTGATTAATGACCTGTTAATGACAAACCATTGACAGGTTAACCTCTGTGATTAATGACCAGTTAATGACAAACCATTGACAGGTTAACCTCTGTGATTAATGACCTGTTAATGACAAACCATTGACAGGTTAACCTCTGTGATTAATGACCAGTTAATGACAAACCATTGACAGGTTAACCTCTGTGATTAATGACAAGTTAATGACAAACCATTAACAGGTTAACCTCTGTGATTAATGACCTGTTAATGAGAAACCATTGGCAGGTCAACCTCACTAATTCTTGATCTGTTAATGACAAACCAATGACAGATTGACCTGTGATTAATAACCTGTGAATGACAAACCTTTGACAGCTTAACCTCTGTGTTTAATAACCTGTTAATGACAAACCATTGACAGGTTAACCTCTGTGATTCATGACCTGTTAATGACAAACCTCTGACAGGTTAACCTCTGTGATTCATGACCTGTTAATGAAATACCCTTGACAGGTTCACCTTTGTGATTCATGACCAGTTAATGAAATACCCTTGACAGGTTCACCTTTGTGATTCATGACCAGTTAATGAAATACCCTGGACAGGTTCACCTTTGTGATTCATGACCAGTTAATGAAATACCCTTGACAGGTTCACCTTTGTGATTCATGACCAGTTAATGAAATACCCTGGACAGGTTCACCTTTGTGATTCATGACCAGTTAATGAAATACTCTTGACAGGTTCACCTTTGTGATTCATGACCAGTTAATGAAATACCCTTGACAGGTTCACCTTTGTGATTCATGACCAGTTAATGAAATACTCTTGACAGGTTCACCTTCATGATTCATGACTAGTTAATGAAATACTCTTGACAGGTTCACCTTCATGATTCATGTTGCCTTATCTGTATACCTGTTAAACCAGCAAATCCTATAGGAGCTGGACCTCCTGGAGCCTGGGCAGGATATGGAGCTGGTCCAGGTGTGTATGGTGGAGGTGCTGAGTGGACTGGAGCTTGTTGATGCATGGGCTGTTGGGGTGGTGGACCCTGTTGATTAGAACTTGGTTGAGGGAGCTGTAAAGAAGAATTAAATGCTGTAAAATTAAAGGTTTATCTCTAAAGGAATAATTTAATGGATTGCTCTCAGAAAGAAATAGACTATGACATGTACAATTTGTATCGTAATTCAAAGAAAGTGGTACTGCAGCCTACAGATGTTAAAGAATAAACATAAAAGTCAACTAGTAATTTATATCCTATGAACTTAGTGTAGCTCTTTGTTACTTTTTATCATAAAAGATTAATCTTGATAACAGCACTTTACATGTTGTCACTACAGTTAGAACTTGTATTTGGCACTGCTTGTAATCTACATGTATTTGTTACAGTCAAATCCAGTTAGATCTTGTTGTCACTACAGTTAGAACTTGTATCTGCCACTGCTTGTAATCTACATGTATTTGTTACAGTCAAATCCAGTTAGATCTTGTTGTCACTACAGTTAGAACTTGTATCTGCCACTGCTTGTAATCTACATGTATTTGTTACAGTCAAATCCAGTTAGATCTTGTTGTCACTACAGTTAGAACTTGTATCTGCCACTGCTTGCAATCTACATGTATTTGTTACAGTCAAATCCAGTTAGATCTTGTTGTCACTACAGTTAGAACTTGTATCTGCCACTCCTTGCAATCTACATGTATTTGTTACAGTCAAATCCAGTTAGATCTTGTTGTCACTACAGTTAGAACTTGTATCTGCCACTGCTTGCAATCTACATGTATTTGTTACAGTCAAATCCAGTTAGATCTTGTTTACAGCACTGAATACAATGAATAAGCTGTTGTAACATCTAGATCTGGATTATAAAACTGCAACATGTGCAATAAGTGAACATGCTACATCTGTGTCTGGTTAAATTCTAAAAGGTCAAACTATTTTGTGCCCCCTTTATTTACAGTTTTTATTGCTGTTTTTTTTAAATTCTAGTTCAATTTTAATTTCTGCGTCAAGTATAAACTGTAAATCAAACTGTTGTTAAAAGTAATCAAATTTGAATATAATGTAGTCCATCTTGTATTCACGGTGGATGTATGATTTAATTTGTTACTATATTGTACTAAATAGTGCAACTTATTCATTGTTTAATGTTAACTTACAGTACTGCATATTGCTTGCATCCATTCACTGAAAAAAAGATGAGACATTGTAGATTATCTTACAAAAGGCCTCTGCAAATATAAGGGGTTGATGGACAATTTTGGCCAGGTTAACTTATTTGTAGATTTAATTTATCTGAACATTTTTGCTATTTTCATTTTCTTTCTATCTGTTACAATTTCTGCAAAAGAAATCCACCAAATATTGTGATCTTATTTTGTTAATCATTTTTACTACTTAAAAATTCTTTATTTCTACTATATACTTTCTGCAAAAAATGCAAAAGGGGTAAACATCATCCTTTAAGGCCATTAATTCCTATAAGGGATAAATTAACAATTTTGGTCACTCAACTTTTTTTTTGAGATTTTTAGGTTGAACAATTTTACTATTTCAAGATTATCTGTATCTTCTATAATTTCTGACAAAATGCAAAATCATCATTCGAAGGCAACCACTCCTATAAGTGGTCAAATGACAATTTTGGTCATGTTGACTTATTTAGCTGGTTATTTTTGTCTTACTGCTTTAGTTTTTGAGATATAAGATAAAACTGTGAAGTTTTCTTAAAATGGACATTTAAAAATTTGTTGTCTGATTTTTTCTGAAAATTCCATAGAAGATAGACCTTCACTGCTGATCATTTCTATCAATGTCAGTTTAACTCTTACTGCTTAAGATTTTGAGATATACCCCAAAAACTGCATTTAACCCTGATTTTCCATTTTTAAAAGCAACAATGGCATGTTTGTTGATGTATCAATTACCATATGACTTGATTTTCGTCTCTCAATCTTTTTCATGCTGCTTTGTTTTAATGACTTTAGTTCTCTATATCTTCACTGAATCTTTGCCATTTGACTTTACTTTAGGCATCTATCTTCAGAGGCAGATTTGTGTGTGTGGGGGGGGGGGGGTGTCCTGGCCCCCTTATGGAGCTTCATGTATGATAAAACTTGGTTTTGTTCTCTCAATCTTTTCCTATCACTTGATTATATTTACTCTACTTATCTATCTTTCCTGTCCATTATATTTACTCAGTTATCTATCTTTCCTGTCCATTGTTTCACATATTTTAGTTCTCTATATACACTCACCTTTGTCATGTGACTTGGTTTCACATACTTTAGTCCTATATATACACTCAACCTTTGTCATGTGACTTGGTTTCACATACTTTAGTCCTATATATACACTCAACCTTTGTCATGTGACTTGGTTTCACATATTTTAGTTCTATATATACACTCAACTTTTGTCATGTGACTTGGTTTCACATATTTTAGTTCTCTATCCCTACACTCACTCACCAGGAGAACAACATGATCTGAATGTCAACTAATGAACCTTTGCTTTGTGATTTGGCTGAACCAACTCAAGTTTTCTACCATAGAGAATCTTTTTATTTACTAACCTCAGTTCTGCCTCATCCCTACACAGAAACCACAGGACCTTAGCCTTATGACTTGGTTTGACTGGTATAGCTATCATTTGTTTATAGCTATACCCAGCTGGTATATCAGGTCTATCTAACATTCCTTCTGTAAAGTCTCCATAGGCAAAGCGTTTACATACTTCCTAAAATTAGAAATAAAAGTGTGGACACACAGGTATGACTGCAGTATCTAACATCCTTTCTGTAAAGTCTCCATAGGCAAAGCATTTACATACTTCCTAAAATTAGAAATAAAAGTGTGGACACACAGGTATGACTGCAGTATCTAACATCCCTTCTGTATAGTCTCCATAGGCAAAGTGTTCACATACTTCCTAAATTTAGAAATAAAAGTGTGGACACACAGGTATGACTGCAGTATCTAACATCCCTTCTGTATAGTCTCCAAGTATCTAACATCCCTTCTGTATAGTCTCCAAAGGCAAAGTGTTCACATACTTCCTAAAATTAGAAATAAAAGTGTGGACACACAGGTATGACTGCAGTATCTAACATCCCTTCTGTATAGTCTCCATAGGCAAAGTGTTCACATACTTCCTAAAATTAGAAATAAAAGTGTGGACACACAGGTATGACTGCAGTATCTAACATCCCTTCTGTATAGTCTCCATAGGCAAAGTGTTCACATACTTCCTAAATTTAGAAGTAAAAGTGTGGACATACAAATATGACTGCAGTTTCCAATATTTGTTTATAGCTTTACACAACAGGTATATCAGGTCTATCTAACATCTCTTCTGTAAAGTCTCCATAGGCAGAGTGTTTACATACTTCCTAAAATTAGAAATAAAAGTGTGGACACACAGGTATGACTGCAGTATCTAACATCCCTTCTGTATAGTCTCCATAGGCAAAGTGTTCACATACTTCCTAAAATTAGAAATAAAAGTGTGGACACACAGGTATGACTGCAGTATCTAACATCCCTTCTGTATAGTCTCCATAGGCAAAGTGTTCACATACTTCCTAAATTTAGAAGTAAAAGTGTGGACATACAAATATGACTGCAGTTTCCAATATTTGTTTATAGCTTTACACAGCAGGTATATCAAATTATCTAACATCTCTTTTGTAAAGTCTCCATAGGCAGAGTGTTTACATACTTCCTAAAATTAGAAATAAAAGTGTGGAGACATAGGTATGACTGCAGTATCTAACATCTCTTCTGTAAAGTCTCCATAGGTAAAGTGTTTACATACTTCCTAAAATTAGAAATAAAAGTGTGGACATACAGATATGACTGCTGTATCTAACATTTGTAAAAAGTTAAAAAAAGCAGGTATATCCAGTCTATTTTACATCCCTTCTGTATATTCTTCATAGGCAAAGTGTTAACATACTTTCTAAAATTAGAAATAAAGGTGAAATTCTTGTACATTTTTGTCAAGAATCCTCAAGATTCAGTTGCTGAATTCACATTCTTCTTTTTTTGAGCAAATACTTGAGAGGAATATATGAAGAAAATTCATAGAACTTATTATTTACATTTAAGATGAGAAATGACTTAAAAATAGCGAACAATGTAAGGTTCTAATATGTTCCTATCTGAAGATAATTACATTCCAATGTGTAGAATTATTTTGTAAGGTTCCATGTGATGAATGGCTTTTTGTAAGGTCTGATGTGAATAATGACTTTTGTAAGGTCTCATGTGTAGAAAGACCTCTTGTAAGGTCCCATGTGTAGAAAGACCTTTTGTAAGGTCCCATGTCATACATGTGTGGAATTACTTTGTGTAAGGTTCCATGTGTAGAATGACTTTTGTAAGATCCCATGTGTAGAATGACTTTAGTTAGATCCCATGTGTAGAATGACTTTAGTAAGGTCCCACATGTAGATGACGTTTGTAAGGTTCCATTTGTCAAAAGACCTTTTGTTAGGTCCCATGTGTAGGATGACTTTTGTAAGGTCCCATGTGTAGAATGATTTTTGTGAGGTGCTATGTGTAGAATGACTTTTTGCTTTTGTCCAATAAACGTAACATAAACTAAATCTTACCTTCATGTAAGCCTTTGCTTTAATCTCATTATCACCCTGTCGTTTATAAACACACAAACTACTGTCATTGTATAACACAACCCATACATTATTCCAGCCTCCTGACAGGAAACTTTCTATAAAATAAATAATTAGATGATTAAGTGTCAACATGTAGCACCATCTGCATCATTAAAACCTCCTCACAGGAAACTTTCTATAAAATAAATAATTAGATGATTAAGTGTCAACATGTAGCACCATCTGCATCGTTAAAACCTCCTCACAGGAAACTTTCTATAAAATAAATAATTAGATGATTAAGTGTCAACATGTAGCACCATCTGCATCGTTAAAAACTCCTCATAGGAAACTTTCTATAAAATAAATAATTAGATGATTAAGTGTCAACATGTAGCACCATCTGCATCGTTAAAAACTCCTCATAGGAAACTTTCTATAAAATAAATAATTAGATGATTAAGTGTCAACATGTAGCACCATCTGCATCGTTAAAAACTCCTCATAGGAAACTTTCTATAAAATAAATAATTAGATGATTAAGTGTCAACATGTAGCACCATCTGCATCGTTAAAAACTCCTCATAGGAAACTTTCTATAAAATAAATAATTAGATGATTAAGTGTCAACATGTAGCACCATCTGCATCGTTAAAAACTCCTCATAGGAAACTTTCTATAAAATAAATAATTAGATGATTAAGTGTCAACATGTAGCACCATCTGCATCGTTAAAAACTCCTCATAGGAAACTTTCTATAAAATAAATAATTAGATGATTAAGTGTCAACATGTAGCACCATCTGCATCGTTAAAACCTCCTCACAGGAAACTTTCTATAAAATAAATAATTAGATGATTAAGTGTCAACATGTAGCACCATCTGCATCGTTAAAACCTCCTCACAGGAAACTTTCTATAAAATAAATAATTAGATGATTAAGTGTCAACATGTAGCACCATCTGCATCGTTAAAACCTCCTCACAGGAAACTTTCCATAAAATAAATAATTAGATGATTAAGTGTCAACATGTAGCACCATCTGCATCGTTAAAACCTCCTCACAGGAAACTTTCTATAAAATAAATAATTAGATGATTAAGTGTCAACATGTAGCACCATCTGCATCGTTAAAACCTCCTCACAGGAAACTTTCTATAAAATAAATAATTAGATGATTAAGTGTCAACATGTAGCACCATCTGCATCGTTAAAACCTCCTCACAGGAAACTTTCTATAAAATAAATAATTAGATGATTAAGTGTCAACATGTAGCACCATCTGCATCGTTAAAACCTCCTCACAGGAAACTTTCCATAAAATAAATAATTAGATGATTAAGTGTCAACATGTAGCACCATCTGCATCGTTAAAACCTCCTCACAGGAAACTTTCTATAAAATAAATAATTAGATGATTAAGTGTCAACATGTAGCACCATCTGCATCGTTAAAACCTCCTCACAGGAAACTTTCTATAAAATAAATAATTAGATGATTAAGTGTCAACATGTAGCACCATCTGCATCGTTAAAAACTCCTCATAGGAAACTCTGTATAAGATAAATGGTCAAACAAACAGAATACTCAGTGTCAACATTAACCACCATCATCAAAGGAACTAAATTTAAACTCTGAAAAATGGTGACAAAATCCAGCAATAATACAAAAGAAGGGGAAGGGATATTAAAAACTCAAAGGTCGAAGACAAACTGACAAAGTCATGGCAACAAAACAATAAACGATGAAAAGGCAATCAACAGTCTACAAAACACTGTGTAGAAAAACATTTAAAAGACACAAGAAGATTTCTCCCTATTGGAGGTGTACCAGGACTGGAGGAATCAAAGATCAGATTCAAGCATCCGTGCATTATACCATCATCCAGAAAAGAGACTATTCATAATATGAATATTCTTTTTGGCTAGTTATTGAATAACTATAATTTGCTGAAGACATATATACATATATCCAACTTTTCCTTTTATTTATATTATAGTTTGTTTGACTTTCTTTGAAAACTGAATTAAAAAAGTCCGATTTTTTTTGATGAGTTATTTTTAAGCCACTTGTTGAATACTTATCTCAATTATATAAAAGGACTGAAGATAAAGCAATGTCCCTCTAGCTTGCAAATTTGTCAACATTGAAATGAGAGAAATAGCATGCCGATAAAGGGTTCAGATCTACTTCAACAGTCAAATTTGAAACTGAACTAATTTTCTTATTTGGTAAAAAAAAAGGCAGAGTCAACAAGTAAAATGAGGTCCTAATAAAATATTTTTATTATCCTTCATTAGGAGAGTATGATTATACATCAATACAAAATATATTATAATATAAAGCTTCTAGGTCACTCCTTTAGGAGAGTAAGATTATACATCAATACAAAATATATTATAATACATGTATAAAGCTTCTAGGTCACTCCTTTAGGAGAGTATGATTATACATCAATAGTGACAATACAAAATATATTATAATATAAAGCTTCTAGGTCACTCCTTCAGGAGAGTATGATTATACATCAATACAAAATATATTATAATATAAAGCTTCTAGGTCACTCCTTTAGGAGAGTATGATTATACATCTATACAAAATATATTATAATATAAAGCTTCTAGGTCACTCCTTCAGGAGAGTATGATTATACATCAATACAAAATATATTATAATATAAAGCTTATAGGTCACTCCTTTAGGAGAGTATGATTATACATCAATACAAAATATATTATAATATAAAGCTTCTAGGTCACTCCTTTTAGAGATCATGTGATTCCCTTGGTTTTTGTTTTTTGAAGTTACTGGATTTATGAGATTGGAGCATCTGTATACTACTCCTGCTTCAAATTGTCTACATCTACATCTTGTGTTTCAGTTTTTTTGGAAACAAGAAATAATTCAACTGTTTAATTTTACCAAGAGTAGACATACAGAAATGTTTTGTCTGTTTAATACTTACTACTATGTCTCTTCAAGTATCCACTTTTTACAATACTATTCATATTTCTGGAAATATAAACAAAAACCCATCTAATATCTAATATGATATGTCAGTATTTTGGTAACATGACAATTTAATCCTTTCCACTTATTGTCATGGTGCAAGTCAATAGTAATCTTACTGTTTCAGGTCATTAGAGTCATAAACAGGATTTTCAGTGTAATAAATGTAAACTGCCAAAATATACATAATGGACAAACACTGCATTTAATGGCAGATGGTAATATGCCACTCAAAACATCAAATTTACATTTTATTTGGTCTCTATCAACATAAATTGTATAAGATAAATCCTAAATCTCCTACATTTTATTTACCTCTAAAATATGAAAAACGATCACCTGAAATCTTTTCATTATTCAGATAACAACAAAAATCAAAAATTTTAACATACAATGGTCACTCTTCCTCACTGATGAATCAGTTTGTATACATTTATTCTTTGGTCATCATGTTTTCTTCATTTGTAAAAACCAGGTCAAGTAAATTAGCATTTTGACCGGTACGAAAACGTGTTGGTGAACATATATATATATATATTGAAAGAAGAAATTATTCTGAATACACTTGTAATATATAATAGGATCTGTATTGATGCCAGTAGATACTTCATAATGCCCAACAAAAAATATGAATGGTGCCAGTTAACTGACCGACTCTTGTTAAAACCCTCAATCCTAGAATTTCTTTTTTATTTCTGAAAAATAAATTTTGAACGATCCCATTTTGTGGAATGTGAACTGTCATCTGAATTCCCATTAGAAGTGTCCACTACGGCTAAAAATGGAACTAATTCTGAATGGCAAGGGCATTTATAATACCAGAACCACACTCCATGAAAGTAAGATTCTTTGTGGATTTTGACAATCTAATAAAAGATTTTTTTTACATGCCAACCATCTGACCATATTTTTTTCAGGATGTAACTGGAACCACACATATAACTCTTTTAGCGTTATCAACTCACTTGATCTCAGGGTACAAAATGAAGTTAAAGTAATTAAATAATGGCTATATTTAAGTTACAAGCTCGACATATCAGATCGTTCAATTTCTTATTGTTTGAAGCTGCAGACAACAGACTCCTTATAAAAGTTTATCATTTCCTTCTAACTTAAACTTACTTCACTTCACACCAGTGACCACACAGTTTCAAATAAAATTTCAAATTTAAAAGCTGTTAATGACATATGAATATAATATCAGGTATATACTTTTCATAATCAGGAGTGGTGAATCTATTCACTGAAGAATCGATGAACTGCAATGTTTTTGCTTGGTCTATTTTCAATTCATTTTATCTATATTTCGGTTTGGTTCCAGTCCGTATAAATTCTGAGTTATAATTTTCTATCGGCAATTCAAAACTCATGTTACTAATTGTTTCAAAGGCAGGGCTGAGTCATTGGGAGACTACAAATATTGGTTAAATAAAAATCATATTCTTTATGAATTTAGCAACACTTAAGGAACAGCAGGTGAACAAAAAAAACCCAGAATAAAGGTAGTTTGCTGTTAGACTACATAATTTAGTACATGTATTAATTCAAGGTTGGGTATTGATTATGAATGTCACCCTTGTATCACGATACGACAATCATATCATTAAAAAGGTGTATTGTAACAGACCTAATAATCCGGTAGATTCAGCATGGATGCTATAGATTTATCCATAGGGTTTTTAGGATAATTTTCACATAAACCTATAATACCCCTTATCGCTATTTGTCCGCCATTACTTGACATCACAAAAGTTACCGTAAAATTTTGACGTCACAGTAGAAAATAACTGACGTCACAATGGAAAATTGATTGTTGTATGACGTCAATAGTTCAAATGGTGCAAATTCTCAGATCAAGCGGTGCAGATTTTCAAATAGCGATAAGGTCTATGTGTGGTTTTTCACTACCCCAAATAATTTTACTTCAAGCTCCCCCTCTTCCCCAGGTTCCCTCATTCATTTCCCCTTATCCTTGTCCAACCTGTCAGAAATAGACCCTTGTTTTTTAAACAGAGGTAATTTACTAATTACAAAATGCTAGCAGAAACATATAATGATATATATATACACATATTTCTCTGATACTACATGGCTAGACTGTATCCCACATGATTTTGAATCATTATTTTGGGTTTTTTATCCATGGCTTCGTTTATTTTTTTTTGTAGTCCAAATGAAAATTAATAAAATGACAAATTACTTTGCGTTCGGACTTACACAGTTTTCCGAAAGGATATCTCTGACTCTATAAGGACAGATTGGGGAAATGTTGTCGTAAAAAAATCTTTGTTGATTCACTCTCTCTAGATTTAACATTCGATATGGTGAATGCCGAGTGGTTCGGAAATAGCAATTTCCGATTGCAATGCAATCGTGAGAGAAATTATGGATGACATGGACTAGTGTTGGTTCGTTAAAAAGATACCATGAGCCCGGACGGCGAACGGTATCCACACGCTAATCTGCGTGTCACTACTTAATGATTCGGAATCAGAAAGCCAAGTAAAGTTCGAATTCATTTATATAAAATTGAGAATGGAATGTATGTTCCTGAATTTCTGGGACGAAATATACATGATGAAATTAGTCAAGCCACATCTTTATTTACATTCAAACGGTAATTTCGAATATCTTTTTGCCAAGACGTGTATCAAAACACAAATTTGATGTAGTCATTTCTAAATCCGTGAAATAGAAAATAATAGACAAATAAACTGTTAAAAATTAGTACTGATGACGAATAAATATATAAACAACTTGAAGATAGGAAAGTAAGCCATTGCACAGAGGGTCCCGGTCGAGTAAACAAGTGAATCATGTAAATTGTATTGGTAATTTTATCAAAACATAGCATACCAGAAGTCCATTACTAAGGCCCAAATAATGGACTTATGTTTATACCTTATGTAAGAGAAATATTTTTAGAACATGTAGAAATTTGTATATAAAAATTGTTGAAGGACACGCTCATGATCTCCGGAGGATGAAGTGAAGTGGAAATCAGACAAGAACCAATACAAGAAAAATAACAGATCAAAGACGAACGACAACTTGATTAGATTTAATCCGAAATTAACAGCACCAGGAACGCCGATTGGAAAAAGGACAAAGCTAAAAGATATGACTGGAGTTGCAACACCAGACTGTGTCCAGTACCAAAGACAATGGAACAACTAATCCCATGGCATACGAAAAGACAGAACTAATGTACTAGTTCAAATAAAAAAACCCAAGGAGATAAGTGCAAAACAAGGGGCATGATTAGGATTTGGTACAACAATGAACACAAGTTAATACAGATCTAACGTAAAACGTACAGTAGCAAACAGCTGCTCTGAGTTTTCAATTTTAAAATATATCAAACCAGCCAACAACTTCAACTACTCAACATAAAAAATTTGCAACCATCATGAATTAAATCATAACCCAATAGCAAGTCATCAACCATTGGTACAAACTGCGCGAATTCCATATGATATTACACTAGATAAATTAACTGAAAAAAAACAATCAGGTAGACAATGGTGGACATTATTTTTTACAATGGGTTTAATACCATTCAATTCCAGCATTAGCGGCTCTCACAGCTTTTCCATTTCAGTTGGGAGAAAATATTTTACAATGGTATTTCAATACTGACGTCATTATTCGTACATTCAATGATTTAAAACAAGCTTTCTTAAACAGATTTTCTCCTGACAAAACATCATTGGACACTAATGTTTTGTGTATGATTATGAAGCAAGGGTAATCAAACAAACAGATGAATTAGGCTTACCGGCAAACATGGTTGTTGGTATAGCTGTTCAGGGTTTACAAGACCCCATGCAAAAATAGTAATGCCACAAAAACCAAATATATTTTTCAGATACTCATTACTTACATTTGGGCCCTTTTCATACTGAAGTTATTTTCCTTTTATAGAACTGTGACTGTTTTCTTTATTTTTTACTGTTAGACGAGACATTTTAGGAGAACTGTGTAATGTTAGATAGCTTTACTTAAACTAGAGGATTACACTTGTGCAAAAAAATGAAAACAACACGTTATAAATTTAATTCATCCGAATCGCTTTTCTGGATTTACCTTCATCAGGAACGCCCAAAGTCGAATATTTGAAAGCCAAGGATGTATAAATCCGAAACAGTTGAAGAGCTATATAATCAAAAATGACCTAAAATAATAGCCAAATTCTTCTAAGGCCAACTTTGTCTGAGGAAGTTGAAACCTTAATTTCTTTATAATTTCAAATTTTATAAACGGGCAAATTTAGAAAGGTTTGTTATTAATCATGTCAAAACCGAAGTACTGACTACTGAGCTGATGATACTCTCGGGGACTGATAGTCCACCAGCAGAGGTATCGACCCAGTGCTGTAAAAAATGAAAACAACACGTTATAAATCTAGATCTGCACTATTCATTTTCTTTCAGATTAAAATGCGAACTTCAGATAGTCGCTCAATACTCGTTACATCAAACAAATTCTGACAAACTTCGTTTCGAATGACTTTGTTTCATAAAATCCAGAAAATTTTCTATTGACCAGAACAGCAAACACGCGGAATCTTTAAAGGCAATCTCTTAAAAAGTCTTTTAAGGGGATCCTTTCTGGATTCTTTCAAACAATCTCAATTATCAATGGACCAGTTAAATCAATCGATCTTTTCAGACAGACTTTCAATCCTCATGGGATCAGCTCAAAAGAGGTATTGTTTGCAGATCTTCTTCTAAAATATCAACTGAAACGAAGGATCTTTTCAAACAGTTCCATTTATCAAGGGATCAGCTATAAGTATTCTATTTCGACCCCAACAATGTAATTAACAATAATTTTTTGCATATTTGATGTTATCCTACTATCCCGGTATCCGTATGGACAGATTCTCCCTCCTTTATTATTGCACAATTATTGTTTGTTATTTGTTTTAATCATCAGAATTATATTGTATTGTATGTATATCTGTTACTTGATTGATATGCTTGACATGAGGAAATTACAAATATTAGTATTATTAGTATCAATATAAAGAAACGATCAGCCGGATAGTATACACACACACAAGGAAACGTTTCCATTATTTGATCGAGAAGAGCTCGCCTAAAGGTGTTTTATGCAACTATACATCATTCCTCGGGAAAATTGATTAGTGCACCGTAATCGACATTACTATTGCTCAATTTTCGCTATCCTCTGGTACTTTAAATATCTGCTGTTTTTTTTTTTTTTGCAGATATACTCAAATAGCGCTTTTTTTGGTTGGTGTTGCTGTATTTTTTGTTATCTCTTTTTTTCAGGGCATAAATAGGACCCGTTGCATAAAAATCCATTTTCTCTGTATATATGTTATTTTCTGCGCAGATTATACTTTGTTTTTGGTGGTGTAACGGGGTTCGTATTGCTCAGTCTTTGATTTCTATGTTGTGTTTTTATACTGTTGTTTGTCTTTGGGTCAGTGATCAAGGTTAAGTTTTCGTGATCAAGTTCGATCATATCTGAGATACTGCAAGGATTTAAATCCTTGGATACTGTAAGCAATAGGTTATATTTGTTTGTGTATTGAATGATTGTGATGTTTCATCTGACCTTGACCTCAGTTTTATGGTTCACTGGCCAATGATAAGTTTTGGTGGTTTGGTCTGTTTCTCAGATACTATAAAAGAGAGGCGAAAGATACCAAAGGGACATTCAAACTCATATAAGTCGAAAATAAACTGACAACGCCATGGCAAAACAAAAAAGACAAACAACAGTAAACAAAACACAATATAGAAAACTAAAGACTGAGCAACATGAACCCCACCAAAAGCTGGGGGTGATCTCAGGTGCTCCGGAAGGGTAAGCAGATTCTGCTCCACATGTGGCACCCTTGATCATATAAGTACAAACCCGGTGAGAAGTCTAATTCGGTAGGTCACATTCGGGAAAAAGGGGACGGGATTGTTGTTACGACAATTGGAGAATATCCGTCGTCATCTGTGAAACAGATATTCCATAACGGCCAACCAACTCATGATGGCGTCTTCATAATGTACGAAGTGCTGATTTCACAACTTCACCACTTTGGAACTCTTGGTTTAATAGCTTCCTTAATTGTGAGCAGCAACCCTCTCTCAAGGAAACCATGATAGGAAATACAATCCCTGGAATATCGTATCAACTGGGAGATGTTTACTATGTATGCAGGCGCTGCTGGAATGTTGTTACATAGAAATAGAAAGTTCACAATTGGGAATCTGAAATCATCTCTTTTGTCGTAAAGTTTTTGTTTTCAACCAACCTTCATTGCCAATTTCTAGATGTAAGTCAAGATATGAGGCAGTCCTAACTGTATCTCTGTTGTATCCTTTATCTCAAGTTCGATGGGATAGATGCGTTCAACATAGTCACAAAATTTTGAATTAGTGAGAGAATATCATCTATATAGCGGAAAGTGAAGTTAAAGGATACTGCTAATTTCTTTTCTTTCTTCCTAAGAAGTTCATGTTTGAAGAGGATCACAGTTGGTTCCCATGGGAATGCCGATTGTTTCGGCCTACAAACGTAACAAATATGTGGTCAATCAAGAAATCAAGCTTCTATGTTCCTTTGGAATTTCAACCAAAGATGAAGAACTGGATCTTCCATCACTGTATTGGATACCTAAACTACATAAGTGTCCTTACAAACAACGGTATATTGCTGGGTCTTCCAAGTGCTCCACGAACCTCTTTCTAAATTATTAACATCTATTTTATCAGCAATCAAAGCCGGGCTCCAAAGTTATTGTGAAACTGCCTATTCTAGAGGTGGCATGAATCAGATGTGGATACTAAAAAATTCCAAAGACCTTTTAGAGTACATACAATCTAAGACTCTCTCATCCTGCAATAGTATTAAAACATTTGACTTTTCTACACTTTACACAAGTATTCCCCATTCCAAACTAAAAGACAAATTGAAAGAGTTGGTATTACTTTGTTTCATTAAAAAGAATGGCGAACGTAGATACAAGTATCTTGTCTTGGGGAGGGATAAATCCTACTTTGTAAAGAATCACTCTGATTCAAACAAAAAATTCTCTGAAACTGACATTATCAAGATGCTTGATTTCTTGATTAACAACATATTTGTAACGTTTGGAGGACGTGTTTTTCAACAGACTGTCGGAATTCCAATGGGAACCAATTGTGCCCCTCTTCTTGCCGACTTGTTTCTTTATTATTATGAGGATGACTTCATACAGGAACTTCTTAGGAAGAAAGATAAGAAGTTAGCAATATCCTTTAACTTTACGTTCCGCTAATATAGATGACGTTCTCTCACT